CAAAAAGAATAATCATGAAAACGATCAATGGGGCATTACTTTTGTGGAGCTAATTTTAGGGGTAATTGCACTCTTCCACCTCGATCTTTTGATTGAAAGGATCTCAATCAAAAAAATCCAGTTATTTAACAACTAGAATTTCTAAAGTATTTTATAAGAGAAAAAAATATACTTTAAATACACGTTTTCAGGAGGAATTTTGCAAAAAATACTTTTGAATGGCAATGGGGCATTACTTTTGTGGACCACTGTATATCGTTCACAAAAAAATTAAAAATTGTTTAGATATAGTTATTTAAACAAAATGAAAATAAAAAACGTGGATTACTTTTTCACACACCTAATAGAAACCAGAATTTTGAACTCTTACATTAAAATGCCTGAAAAATTTCTCAAATAAAACATTTTTCAAAATTTCAATTCAAAAAAGCCATTTTGTAGATTAAGGATAGGGCTTTTGAATGAAGCAAACCGTTTTTTGATTGGATAAGCCGTTTTTTCAGAAAACACATTACCCAAAAACGATCGTTTATAACTTGCCAACTTAATAGAACCTATTAAAGTAAACCAAAAAAAAGTTTAGTAAAATATTTTACATGGTTAAAAACCATTTAGAATAATTATCATTCATTTCGTTAAACTTTTATTATTCGAAATAACAATCGGGATCATTCAATAAACTATTTCAATAAACTGCAACAGCCTAACAAAATCGTAAAGCCTATGAATCTCAACAATAACACAAGGTAAATAGGTAAATAGATATTTTCAAAAAAAAGAAGAAAAGAAAATCACGTTTTAGAGACCTGTTAAACGAATTAATAAAGAACAAACAATAAGATAGGAAAACCTAGAAATAGTAACCTAGAAAGAAAGCTTTTTTCGATCATAAAATATACCTATCGTATCGTATACCTACGACGATCGCATCAGCTTTGAATGGATCAACGCTCCTGACGGTGTCGCCGAGCAATTCGACCGCGAGCGGTTTCTAGGAGATGGAATGGTGCGCCGCAAGAATCTGCTCATCGAATACAATCCTTGATTGATTGCATGGTGCTCACCCAATAAATTGTTCTCATAATTTTCGTGCATTTTCATTGGTTTGCACATAGCTATATCTTGGTCGTTGGTGGTTCTTCTTCTTGATAACAGATAAGCAGTCAACGGGAAATGTCTCAAATAATGGTTGTTGGGTTGGCACGTGAACTCGGCTGGTCAGATTTGGGTGGAAGTATGAAATTATATGATCAGGCGTTTCTACACTCCAATTGGACTCGCTGCACTCAAAATATTGTTTTTTTTTGGAGCCTACCATGAGTTTCCGGACGTTTTTTGTGTAGGCTAGAACACCATGTTTACCTAAGGTGATTTGGTTCACGAGGGTGATGATAGTGATATGGTTGGCTAAAAAAATCAATCTAATTAACTTCGAATGATCAGGATACAAGCGCCTATGCTTATCAACCAGATGACGAAGACATGCTTGCGGAATCTCAACAAAATGAATATACGGTTCCGCGTATTTCCAAGGACTATGGCGATATTTATGAAGCTATCAACAATTTCATCACAATTTTTGATGTCAGGTAATACTTAATTTTTTTTTGTTTTTGGAACTTAATCCGGATCTTAGATATCGAAATGGTGGTATCTCTTCAAAGCTTCCACTCAACTTTTATCACGGTACACTTCAAGAAGCAGTTCAACAGGTAGTTATCGGATAACTCAATTATGCATCTGCTATTTTAGGCTTTTGACCCGGTTGGTAAAGGTGTGGAAGAACGACGACCGTTGGCTCTGTATTTGCATCATGGTCGCGGAATTGCATCCAACATTTTTCCACCAAAGGTAAGTTTATTTAGAACTTTTTGTGTTTCATCCCGCCTTCAGATTCTTTGCCCTGAGTCGGTTTCTAACTTGTTACGCGGTCAATTTGTTTTGTGGCCTTGGGATGTCACGGAGCGAGAACAAACACAGGTGGCTATTGAACACTTAGATACACGACAAATTTTCCGTTTGAAAACCCAAAAATTGGCAGTATATTGGAAATGATAATGAAATACATTCACAGTACAAATTTTATTGGGCACTCAAAATCATGGCAGATCAAGGGTTGTACTCAATGGGGAAATTCTTGCGGCGGACCATTCCACCTCCTTGGAACCATTCACGGCGAAATTGCTTGGCGGCACCGTCGGGGGTGTTGGTCCATTCGATTATGATGCGGTCGTTGTTGGTCTCTTCATGACCGAAGGCAAAGGCATCGCATGAGACGGCAACCTAAACAAAACAATTGGTGAAGGTAGAATAAAATTAAAACAAGACAAAGGGAAATAAAACTTACAAGGACACCCTCCTTTGGGTCCAAAACACCGCATGGTAGGTCGACTCCAAGTCGCTTCATGTTGGTGATCTTGAAGGCCCAGCCGATACGACGACTGCTAGCATTGATCACCTAAACAAGAAAAATAATAAATGACAAAGAAATAAGTTAAAAAAAGGGTCATAAGCAAGTTAAAAAAAATCGAAAAAATCTATACCTTGATGTGGTAGGTGTGCTTGTCGTCGTAGGGGGCGTTGAAAACGACCTTCGCGTTGGGTTGAGTGATGATGTCGCCGGGCGGGATTGGGTTGAGTGATAATGTCGATTGGGCCGTCTTGTCGGGTTGAAGTCGAGCAGACTGATACCTAAAGAAAGAAAACATTTCCTTTTATTTGACGCCTAAATGGGTTAGTAACCAACCCCTTACCTAACACCTTTAGACTTGCCAACCCTTTTCTGAAATTATTTGCTTGATTTGTTTAAAGGTTCTGATATCATTATGGTATCGGAAACTTTAAAAATGCTGGTTAAAATGGAATAAAGGAAAATGGGGTAGGGTAATTTCCGCTATTTTATTTGCGCAACTCGCCATAAGATTGACCCAATTAGAAGAAAGTAATGGCGAGTTGCAAAAGACCCAGTCGCCCAAATAAAATAGCAGAAATAGGCTGTATGCCGGAAAATGAAAAGCATGACAAAAGGGGAATTTCGTGTGGGGTACCGTGGCTCATCCACCCTTTAGAAAGAGAGCCGCGACGCCTTCGGACCAGTCACTTAAAACCGCAGGTCAATAGCAATTATACTAATGTAAATCACGAAAAATGACATAAAAGCCGGGCAAAGTTTCCAATAACATCATGGAATGAAGGAAAATGAAAAGAACAGCAAAATGGGAATTTTTGTGCGGGTGTTAGTTGGCTAAATTCCTTCAGATAACAATTTAAGTTAAGATTTGAAGACTTTTAGCTACTTATAAAATTACAATTGCTTACGCTTGCATTTGCTGTTGCTTTCCTTCCTCCTCTTGAGGCTTCAGATCTGAAAGTAACATTCATGGGTCTTTTCTCTAGAGCTCACTGGCTAAAAATCTGGCGAAGGTTTGACTAAAAGCATTTTCAAATTTAAACTGACCAATTCCAGGGAAATCAAGCTTCTTTGGCTCCTCAGCGACCACTTCTTTCTCGAGAACCGATTCAACAGCAACACTTGTGGTAGAAGTTCCCGAAAGCGACTAAATGCTAATCATTGTCTTTGTAGCTAGGTAGATTTACTTACCTTCGGCTGAGCAACTTTCAGCCCAAAAGAACCATTGTAGACAGAACGAAGTTGCAGCAGTTCGGCTTTCCTCCGCTCAGCAACCTCAGCAAAGTCCTGAAATATTATAATTATTTAAAACAAGACAGCTAATTTTGAGTCTTAAATTATCAATTCTTATATTAGGCTGTCTAGGAAGTCTTTTCGTTCCTTTTCGTACTTCCGTTTACAACCAACAAATGCACCAATTGATTTGTTCCTTGTGGACCAGCCCAACTCACCGCAGATTTCGCCTTGCTCGCCTCTGCCTCAGCCATCACAATCGATCGATCCATCAAAGGACCAATCGATCCATCAAAGAATTTTGTCTCCATCTTGTTGGTGAAATCACGGATCTTTTCTGAATTTTAGAAACGTTTACTTTTTATATGTTGCGTCCGTTTACGAACTAACGTTCAGATCGGATTCGGACGTCCGTTTACGAAGTAAACTTAAATGCTAATTTGATGTTAATGGAACTGTTACGTCCGATTCCCAACACTATCTAGGATAATTAGGTCTCTACGAGAAGGCCGGAGCTGGGAGAGTCAGGTCTCTAAGGTGCCATAGCCTAGGAAAATGTACGCGCCGTAAACGTAGTTCGTAAACGGACGTAACATATATAATGTTTTCTGTGCTTCAGCTTGATATGACAAGCTTAATGCAGGTCTAGCAATTGATTTTGAATCAACTCCATCTATTACAGAAGCATTCTATCCCTTCATTCTATCTCCTTGATCACTCACCCTCAATGTCGTGACGACGAGCGACGAATTCGGTGATGTAGCGCTGCTTGTCGATGACGTGGATCGATTCGGCATGATCGTGCCTGAAAATTTTAATAGTAAACTAGTAAAGTAAATCAAAAAACTACTGCTGTAACTAATAGCCTAAACTTATCAGTACTTTTGGCTTAATATTTCTTGTTGAAAAGTCACTTATTTGTATGAAGTCACTCACATGCACTTTCCACAAACGGCCTCGTGATCGAAGCAGTTGCGATTCCGCCGATTCTCACAGGAGAGCACCTTCGCGTTGTAGCCGACTGAAAGCAAAAGGGGAAATTGGTGAATGGATTTAAGCTGATCTTTTGTGAAATTTCAGTTCAATAGTTAATTTTAAAACTCACAGAACTTTCCGCAACAAGTGCAATTCAAGAAGGAGAAAGCTCGCTCGAGAAGAGACATTTCCAAAAGAAATTCGAAGGTTAACGAATCTGAATTGAAAAATTATTCGACATCTGCTGGCCAAGGGGGAGTAGAAGAGACAATTTGTGCCAACGGCTCCACTAAGTCAAAAAATGAACGAGATAGTGCGAAAGAGAAAAATAATTGAATGAAAGATGCGAAATTGGACAATTTTGGGTTATTGATTTGAACAGGATTTTTGAAGATTTAAGGCATGGGGTGGGGAAATCGATCGATTGAGAGATCAACTATCAAAACTATCAGCTACGGTCTCGCCAGGTTTGAAACACGGTATCCCGTCAGATTTTCCAAGTTAAGCAACGACGGGCTCGATTAGTTCGATTCGAATCCATGAGCTCGGCTTCGGCTTCGGCTCTGGTTCGAATCCATGAGATGAGCTAGGGTACTTTTCCCCGATCTGAGCGCTGTAGGCTCCGCTCGCGTCCAGCTTTGGTTAGATGGGTAGACTAGTAAAGGTGCTAGCTCTGTAAAGCAGCTAGCCTTCGCCGTCGCCTTCTCTTCTCCCCTAGAACAAGCTATGTAGGGACCGTTCATTAAGACTAGGGTTAGGGAGTCGCCTGTCCAAGGAAGGCGTGGGTTAATATAAGATATAGCCTAGTATTGTGCAAACTATAGATGCAAATTTTCCGATGCCCCGCCCACTGCCTCTTGATTGGGATAGCATCCACCTACTTAACCACAACAAAACTAATCAATATAAATTTAGCTATCACACCCGTAAAGTCAAGTAAAGATCAAAAATAAGCGGAAAAACGAAGAAATTATTGAGAAAGATGGCCAATGTATAAACGTGATTGAAAAACAGTGAAAAAAGTGATCAAGAATATTTTTTACGAAGAAAGAAGCATTGACAACCTATATAGCTTAAAGTTATCTAAGAAAAAAATAATCAAACTATATAATCACATAAAAATTAGAAAGTGAACGCTGTAGAGAATCGTCTGCACTCCATTACATTCCGCCGGGTCGCTCTTCTTCTGGCATAAATTCAGTTTGAGACTCATCACATAGATACTAAAAGAAGAACAGTTTCACCAATGTTCCAAAGCTTAAAGCCTTAAACATAAACTACATATTACGAAACTTTAAATCCGTACTACATTTTTGTTCATATGCATAAATTATCAAACGTTTGAATTATTTGTTCTTATAAAGTAGTCTCGGAGATAGTACAAGTTTAGGCTTTAAAAAAGCAATTACCTTTAACCAATGAGGTGGTTCGAGAATTCGAATACCATTCGCTTGATAGGGAAAGACGTCTTCCAAGAAAAAGTACAAATGACCACAAACGATTCCTGAAGAAATGAAAATTTAATCACTTCTGGAAAAATATCCTTACCGATAAAGTCGACCAATGCATTATTTCCAAGAATCACCGAAAAGACGAGCAATACCCAGGGCAAATATGGCGCATCGAAAGTCAACGCGGCGAAGAAATTCATTCTAAAACGATTGGTTATTGAATCCTGATTAAGATATACACCTTAAACAAATACCAACCTGATATGCGGATTTCTGCGACTCCAAACGTAAACCATCATCATCGTAAAGGCATGTCCAAGGAAGAGGATTTGGAAAAAAATTGCGCAGACGATCTAGAAGAGCACAACGTTTAAAATCAAAGCTAAGGCCTCAAATAACAAACCATGAATGTAGATCCCAGTAAAAACATGTAGACGAAATCAACTCGGCGACCGCGAAAAGAGCCCTCTTCTAGCATTTGGCAATATCTAAAAAATGTCATTCAATTAATAAAGTATCAAAACTAACCTGTATGTGAAGACTATATTAAAGAAGAATGAGAACCCAAAGGATCCAAAAAAGCAAAAAGGAGTCACCAATCGCCAAATCTAAATCAAAATTTGTTAAAGCATATTGAACTATGAAAAACTCACTTGATATTGTTCAACTATCAAGTCCCAATTGAAGTAAAGTTGAAATGGTGACACAAAGTCGAGTTGCTAAAGGAAGAAATTATTTAAGAAATAAATGTTAGACAATAAAATACGATAGAATCAAAAAAAAACTTACAATGGCCAATGTTATCAAGACGCAAGCTGTCGTGTAAACTCGCGTCACCGGGGGCATTTCTATGTAGAAAGCGAGTGGATTCGCCATCCTGTAAAAAAACGATCAATTTTTGAAAATAATTTGAAAAGTTGAGGTGAGAAAATGGAAAATCACGAAAAAAAAACAACTAGACAGTATTTTCCAAAAAACTGCGAAACCCTCAAAATCTGTTGCTACGTTGCTATTTAAAAAATTGTCAAGAAATGTGATAAAACGTATCCACGAAACGCAACTAAGGGTTCAGTTTTGCAACGAAATATTGATTTAACAAAGGACTGCGTCAAAATGATTTTTCTGACGCTGCATCAATGTAGATTTTCGTCTAAACAGCTTCTCGTCTTCAACGTCCCGCGCCAATAGAATACACGAATATTAAAATTTCGCTCCGTTTTGAAATTTACACGATATTACCGTTGTCAAAATAAGTTTTTGGGGCCATCACGGTTGCGCCGTAAGCCAAAAATGAAATTCGAGCATACGAAATTTGCTCCAAGCGAATTTTGCGCCCCAAGCCAAAAACGAAAATTGCGCCACGAGTTTTGCGAATTTTGCGCCGCCTTCGTAAAACGAAACTTCCGCCGCAAGACCAGAGGCGAAAATTGGTTTTCGGCCCAAATTTCGTATGCTTATTCATTTTTGGCTTGCGGTGCAATGTTCGCGGCGCAATCTATGACAGTGACAGCCCCAAGTTGACTATGACAGTCCCAAGTTTTTTCTGAACATGGCTGAATATGAATGTGATGGATTTCTGATCGTGGATTTTATTTGATTGACTTCTTGAAGATGATAAAGCTGTACGTGTAAGTGAATACAAAATTGACAATTTATTTTGTCGACTGAAATCCCACAAGCGATACGTGAAATAAATTTAAAACCAAATCATTGACTAAAGCAACATAACTAGAAACAGTCAATTAAACTTAAAGGCATCAAAGCGTAATAAATTAAAAGCTCGCGTTTATTAAGAATCTCGAAAAAGGGTAATGTGAAAAAAATTATCCAATTTTGATTATGTTGTCGAATTATGCATTGCTGTCTGAGCCCGATGATTTTGCACCCTGAAGCATTCGATCAAATTGTTGTTGCGCATCTTCGGGAACGGCCCCACCCCTTTGTGGCGTTGTTTTGTCCTAAATGCGAAAATTAGCAAAAGACGCTGAATTTAATATACTCGACAACATCACACGAAACTTTAAGCTTTACTACGATGATATGGGAGAGCAATCTACCATCTTTACCATGTGGATTGCTAATAGTTTAGAAACCTTAAATCCAAAGCCATGCTAGTCTTATATGCTTCTTTATCGGCAGCCAGATAGCCAGGCGTAAGAGAGGGAGAGTTTTGCGTACCGGACGACGAAACCCATTACCACCCGAGGCTCTTGGAACCAAGGGCACCGGTTGAACGGAATGTGTCGGTGATAAATCGCGGTTCTATTTTAAAATATTTGCCAAATCGTTTCTATTAAAAATTCTTTCGAAACGCAAACCTTCAACAAATTGGAAAAGAAACTGGCGAGCGGTGAGCTGTCAGGGTTTGCTTGCTCTTCCATCAATTTTTTCGGTGTTGTAGTTGTAGAGGAGGCAGAGGCAACTGCTTGAGCAGCATTCAGTTGCTCGCCTAGTTTTCCCAAGAAACCCTGAACAAAACATATTAAGAGTTATGTATGGTATCGAGTACCTGCGTATCTTCAGCAACAACATCTGCTTCTTTAGCCACGGCAGGACGCTCTCGTGTCGGCTCGAGTACTTCAGCCTCGTTAATATTCTCCTAAAAATCTTCTATTCATGAGTCTTTAGCAGGCTTAATCGATTTTAAATTCTTGCCCGAATGATTTCAATTTTCTTCTCGCCGTCCCAGCCAGCAGGAACAAACAGCGAATCTCGATCCAAGAGTTGAGCTGGAGTTGTGAATGGCAGATTGTAAGCCCGATGTACAAGATACTAAAAGATATTTGAAAGGTTATTTAAACTATGAACAAACCTTTGTCAAAAGATGCGTATTTTTAATATTCTTTGATGAGGTGTAAAAAAGTGCGGCACCATGTTGAAGACAGAAACGCCGAATCTAAAATAGAATAGGTTCTGATTTTGACTTTTAATGCTTACATCTACGAGAATTTTGTCAGCCAATTGATCGTTCATTTCGGATGCTAAACGTGAAGAGTTACATAAATGAATCAACAATTCTACCCAAATCGCTTTTCGTCACAACGACCACCATTGAAACACCGCAATTCTCGCTTAGAACACCAGGTTCTAGTGGGAGGAGCCCTGAAAGCACTAAAACTAAATAGCAAATACAACCACAAAACCTGTATCTTCTAAACCGGGCATCATAGACGAACTCATCGAGGATTCCACTGGTTCCACATACTCTTGCCAGAAGCGTTCTTCTACAAAACTTAGTTGTTTAAAATGTTTTAAAAATTTTATAGCTGTTCTTTGCTCTCTATCGTAAAAACTAACGTGTTTGCTTTGCTTCGCTCATCGTAGTTGTATCATACTTTGAAGTTACTTGCTGTCCTAGAATGGCGGCCCACCGACGAAGCGAATGGATTGGACCTAAAATTCTTTTGAACAAAAACCTTTAAGCAAGCAAACTTGGATTATCAAGTGAAACGACGAGAACGGCAACAATTCGAGATGGCGATGATGTTGGAAGAGCATGTCGAAGAAGCGGAGCAAACACCTCCTTTCCATCCAATACCCATACCTTAAAAATGTTTTATTCCAACAAAAAAGGAAGGATCTAACCGGTAGAGCTAGATTTTCAGCTGGACCAAGAGCTCCACCAGCAGTCCCGAGCGAATAAGCGTAGCTGCTGTCCCGTGCGTCAGATTGTACACTCAAGCAATGATAGGCCAAGGCGGATCCCTAAAACAAGAAGGCGGACATGTTTTTTTCTTGTTTTTTATGTGATGTTATGTAATAAATACCTAAAGTTACTATAGATTTCACTAAAATATCGGCAATTATACCTTGTGAGCGTTTTCGATTTTCTCAAGTTTTGCAAGAAGAGATGTCTTGCCGGATTTCGGATCACCTAAAGTAAAGTTACTGTTGTTATTTTACTATAAAACTAACCCAAAACTATCACATTTGAGCCTTGTAGTGTGTTTCGAGACTTGGCACTCACATCGGTAAGGATTCTGGTCCTAAAATATCATAGTTGCTTTTCTAGGCATGAAGTGTTTTAATAAAAGCTTGATCTTTTGTTCGTTTCGGATCTTTACGGTTATCCGAAGGGGGAAGTGATTAGCCATGGGGGGGGCTGTCTAAAACCGTATTTTAACAATAAATCCTACAATTTTTACATGCACTGCTATTTACCTAGGCTATGGACACTGCACACTCGGATTGCCTGATCGGGTAGAGGCTATTCAACGTTTTCAGAGCTTTATGGAGCGGAGGCCTCCTCCGGGCATAAAGTTGCTTTGTGTGATTTGAAGTTTTTACTAAACTGCAAAGCCGGGTTCTAAATCACTGGGGAAGTACCAATCTGGCCTAAGAAAGCAATTCATCGAGTTTCGGATGAATTCCGCTAATCGCTCCCCCCACGGATAACCGTAAAGATCCATCGTTTTGCCAGCTCTTAATTAGCACCCTTTAATTTAGCAGCTTATTTAGTAACTAGTAAAAAAAAACTACGCACCAAATCTTTTCTTCTTCTTGAGCGGCAGCGGCAGCACTTCGTGGCGAGTTTGAAAGTTGTGGCAGCACGATGTTTGAAAGCATATCCGTCGCCATCTCTTACCCTGAAAAAGAAAATACAGTAATAGCTGGCCATTTCTCGAAAAGAGGAGCAAAAGATCACGTACGCAATTGAAAGAGTTTAAAGATTTAGCAAAACGCGGAAGATAAGGTGTTTAAATGATTTTCAAGGCGCAAAGTTTATTTTTATTTTTGACTGATAAACGTGCTAAACTTGTATTTGAAGTTTAGCAAAGTTTTAACTATAAGTGTTCAAAATAGTTATTACATTTTGCAAAATATACCTTGAACCCTAGAATTGGGTAGCTGGTCAAAAAATAAGAAACCGTGGTTTGAAAATGAAAGGAAGGAAAAAAATGGAAAAAATGGGGGGTAAAATTTTAAGATCCGGTGGGGTAAAATTTTAACTTTTTTATACTTTTTTTTACTTTTTGACCATTCTGCTACTTTTATCAATCTTTTGCACCTATCGCTTTCAGAGTTTAAAAGAAGAACGAAAATATTGCTCATGATCTGATTAATGGTCTAAAGATCAATAGATTAACGCAAATTCCGTGAAATTTTACATTTACCATAGGCTTTGTAACTAAAAATAAAATTCTTGAGGCAAATGTTTAACCTTTTGTTAAACCCTTAAACTTAAACCTTTAAACTTATATCATTTTGCGTTAATTTCAGCGTTTTAAATAGAATTTCATCAATTTAGTGTGAAAATGTTTGCCGCCAACTAGGATATTATCAACATTTCTAATAATGACATAAAAAAATTTTGTAGAAGTTACGTTTTTGATCGAGTATCACCTCGAATCACGTAATCAAGTAATCACCTCAATAAATTGAATATCTTTACATTTGAAGGGAAATTGCCACCAAATCACTTAAGCGGCTGAATATCTTTAAAAGGGGTCGTGTATAACGTATATAAAAGTTTACCCCGGATCTTAAAATTTTACCCCCGGATATTGAAAGACCCCCCCGGATACTCCACAAGTAGATAAAAAGAACACAAATTATGGGGCTTCAAAGTTTTTTCTTGAACAAACAGTTTTTTGCTCTAATTTTTTTTCTTTTTATCCAATCTTTCTAATTTAAGAAATTTAACATAATTATCAATGATTCTGCGTTGAATGATACCAAATACTTGATGGTTGGACGCTCCTAGACCCACTCATTCATAATCGGCTACGGGGGTCCCGCCGATTTTGAATGAAACGTTGTAGCGGACGGCAATTTTTAACCTAAACTCACAAATTTGGTACCAATCGACGCAGAATTTAATTCGCTACAAGATGATATAATATTGTCCTCATACATTAAAGGGTTGCTCTACTAGAAAGATTTGCCAAAAAATTTCATTCATAATCGGCTACGACATATATAAGTAAAAGACATTTCACTGGCTGTTGGCCATTAAGAGACTGTAAATACAACTTTTGAAAGCTTTATTGACAACAAGAACAAAAAACAGCGGTTAGTAATTCAAATCAACAACTTCTTTCCTTAAGCTATATTCCTTAAGCTTTTGAATCTGGGATTTGAGTTGGCTGCTGGATTTGAGTTGGATGGAGAATGATTTTTAGGGGTTCCCCGTCAGCCGCCATCACGATCACCTGCAAGTTGATTGTTGGTTTGAGTTAGTTGAAAGTTTCTACAAATCATAGCCAGCTTTTAATTTCTAAACTCCTGAACTTGGTTTGTCCAAAAGCCTTGTCTAGGCCTTTTTCTAGGCCAGGCCAGGCTAGGTTCTGGCCTGATTTCTAACATTGGCCTGCTTTCTGAGGCTTGGCCTGCAAAGAAAAGATGGGCTTGAAGCCAGGCCTGGACCTGACTTCTGGCTTTGGCTTTACCTAACCTGGTTTGTTTACAAGCCCTAGAGCCCGGTTGGAAAATCCCTGATTAAAATGACAAAGCAACAGTCCCTAAACTATATTTGAAACGTTTGACCTTTAAATTTGTAGGTTGCCATTCAGTTATCTTGTTCATCTTACCTTTTCCTCTATTCAACGTCTTCGTCATCCTTTCTTGAATTGCTTGTAATTCATAGCTTGTTGCACAATTCATCGATCGAGCAATTTTTGCGAGAGTTGGATATCAGCCAATGGATAGGCCTTCAGACTCACTCCATCATCGACCATTTTTTCCTTTTTCTGAATAAGTTACAGCTTATCAAATAGTGTAAAATAGAAAACACTAATATGACAGCTTTTCAAACGTTTGCATTAAATTTATTGATAAATAAATCAACGGAGATGAGTATAAAGCTGCAGAATGCGGGATTTCGCAAAAATATTCTTCAGAGCTCTTGTCCAGTGCGCAAAGAATCTAGACGTAAATAGGAACCGTGTTGTCCAGTGGAGATGAGTCGTTTGAGAGCTCAGGTAGTTTGGGGAAGTAGATAAATGGTACAAGTTATAGAAAACGATTAATTATTGAAGTGTTGTCACTTGTCTATTTTCCACAAAACTTATCAGTAAATTGGCCTGAGGAAAAGTATTATATCATACAGAGTGCCCCAAAATTACCCGAACCAATAAAACTCATGGTTTTAAAACCTTTTCATCGAAAAACAAGAATTAAGATCAACAAATTTATTCTCTAGATTGCTTTCAACAATTTGGTTTATTTCTTCTTTGAAAATATCTCCAGGGACGGCTGCACAAGCGGCGAGACGTTTTGGAAAGCCGTGGCCAAAAGATACACAGGATCGAGGGCAGCCTAAGCTTTCTGGGCTAATATAATATAATAAAAACACAAAAAAAGCCCAGAAATGAAGCCAGAAATAAAGCTTAAATCAACGAGTTATTGTCCTTGACAGATGCACAGATGTAGGAAAAAGGGACGGCCGAGGATTACAACAAAGAATGAAGACCGATTCCTTACGGAAGCTTTCCAAAAGGATCCGAATTTGACGTTGAACGATGGAGTCATTCTTTTCAAGCAAACTTCAAACAAGTGATACCTTGTTGCGACAATTATGGCGCACCCTGTAATATCCAAAGCTTGCTTTTTTTAAGACTTTGGTTCTAAACTACAATTGGCACAATATGGATATGAAACGTTTGAGCTACAAAGCTACAAAGCTAGAAAGCTACAAATTACATAGCCAAGTACAATTTGTACTCTGTACTAGTATATAGAGAGGAGTACGCGATACATTATTGTAGATTAATTGTTGTACCATTAATGCATTGTTGTAAATTCACTCCCATCCTCTGGCTACTGGAGAGCAGAGCAGATGTGCACTATAGCTGACAATTACCATTCGTAAACGCCATGAAATTAATCGATCGATCACAACCGAACAATCTGCAACTTCTAGACTTTAATATATTCAGTTTTTAATATTAAACTCATTTACTTATCTAAATGAACTATTTCAAAGCTCTCGTCGACACCGTTCGAGAAAATATTCAACCGAAAGAAACTAAACCCCAGATTTTCTTCGAAAAACAAGATAGTTTGGAGTTGGAGAGCCCAATTTCTTCCCCAAAATCTTTCAATGATGTCAGCAATTTTCATACGAATCAAGGATCGCGAGAGAATTCAATAAGAATGAGTATTTCTCTTTCTCAATTCAATCCTTTACAAACGTCGACTCCGAAATCGGCGAGGATTCGTTTATCGAGAAGAGCTCAGAAAGAGTTATCGATAAGCTCTCGAGAGTCGACATCAGGAAGTTCGCTTACGGGGAGCACAGGTAAGTATGCTAGCCAGAGAGCTTTCTAAAACAGATCAACTTTTAAAACTACCGTATAAGAAAAAGCTTAACTTTGTTATTTGTATCGAAAGATAATGAGATAAACGAAAGATAATTACGGTGTTTTTTCTTGGGGTCACTTTTTAGAAATACTTCTAAAGGTTGACTTCTGAACGTAGCTACGATTGTAACTCGAAGAATCGCTTGATATCTTGTACTGTTACTAAACTAATTCAGTTAAGAGTTTTCGCTTAAAATATTAACATCTTACTTTCAGGTTCCATCAAAAAACCCTATTTCCGCCAAAAGTTCACCAAAGAAAACAAGAACGAGGCAAGTGATTGGCTGATGGATTTGGAGAAGAATGACACTCAAAAATTGCGTAAAGTGCTTGAAGAAGCCGGGATCGATCGACGGAATTTTCAGAAAAAGATCTACTGCAACGAGACAATGAAAAAAGTGTGGAAGATTAAGATTCGAGAAGAAATCGGCGGGAAAAAGTACTCACAAGCATTGGAGAATCTCTTTCAGGGGAATTGCTCTGACGACGGGCAAAGGATTGATCGACAATACGTGGAAACGGTGATGGATGTTGGGGGAGGAGTGAGATTTTACAATTATCTGCTAATCGATTCAAGACTTTGTCGAAAAGATACGAATAAAGTGGAATTTGAAGAGTTCATTGGAGCCGCTTTTTACATCGGAAAAGGGACAGAGAATCGGGCAATTGATCACCTGAAAGATGCACTCAAATTTGATGATTACAATCAAAATCAAGCGCTCAAGAATCTACCGAAACTTTCGTATATTAATGAGATTTGGCGAGAAGAAGGAGCGGTCTATGTTTTAAGGTTTGTTAGTTTTTCGGGTGTACTTTGTGCTGAATGTAAACACTGACACAATCCCCAAAGGACTGATGCGCTTTCTAAAACGTACTAACTTTTAAAAACTACCGTAATCCCGCCTCTAGTTTTGCTTAATCACCAACCAATTGCAGGCTATTCCACGACGTGCACGAGGATGTGGCCCATTTGCGAGAAGAGGCGATGATCACCGCATTCGGGCTCACCAATCTCACGAATGATCGCCACGGGCATCAATTCAAACGACCTCGGGGGTACTGTGCATAGAAAAACTATAGAAATAACTTGGGAATCTTAACAAAATATACCAACTTTTGTTACAGGTACACCCGCGAGATGTTACCCATTCACGGGGCCTTTCTGCTTCACAAAGCTTTCCACGTTTTCGTCAACAACTTACCACAGCCAATCCGCAAACACAACATGCACTACGCGCCCGAGAGATTTGAATTTGGTCTTAAACAGGGCAATAGTTGAGTAGATGTATGAAATTTCTGTGTGTACATTGATACTTAACTTTGCATTTGACTCACAATCATTTTGTGTAATACGAAAGAATAAAATGTGGACAGCCGAGTAATCACTCGCTAACAAACGAACTTGCCAAAGTACTCAGATTGTGAGTTAAAAAATTTATCAGTCATTTATAAAAAGCCTAAAACAAGAAAAAGAACAAAGTCATTTTGGACCAGAGAAATCGGGGATCTCATGAGATCGGCTACACGCATTTTGTACAAAACAAAAAAGAAGACCAATAATGCTACCAAATCACACAAGAGAATCAACGGGTTAACATGGTAAGATCCTAAAAAAACAACTCACAGATAGACAAATAACTAAAAACCAATGCACAAGATATGAAAAGATACTAATAGATCTGGTTCATCAGGAGATCCCGTTTTAAAGTGCTTTCACCGCTGAATTGGCCATTTGAACAATGAATCTAAAATAAAACAGATCAGTTAAGTTAACACGTTTGATGCTAGAGTCGATACATTAAAATTCACCAACCTATCAAGCCATGTGACAGATTTCGGTGAAAAAGATCCGCCTTCAAGGAAGCCCAAATGTCCGCCATGAGAAGTGAGCACAAACGCAAGGTCTTCTCGTTGTGAACACATCTCCTAAAGTTTGAAAATGAGCTCAAGATCGCTTTGAGAAGCAACCAACCTTAACCGGCTCCCAAAGCGCCTCCGGAACGATCGGATCATCTTTCGCATTCAAGAAGATCATCGGAATGGGCAACGGTTCGGTGAGTGAAAGCAATCTCGGCAAGCATGAGACCCATGAATAGAAAGACTCCACTAAAATCAAAAAATTTAGTAGTGACATTAAAGTAAAATTTATACAATTGCCGAAGCCAAAGATACGCCGATTGTACTGCTCATCAAACGCGACGATTGAAGTTGCTGACCATAAACGCTAAAAACGAGATTTTTAAGAAATTATAACGAGGAATAACCTGCTCTTCGACTGTTCCCGATTTAACATGTGGTTCCACGACCTCTTCGTAATGAGCTCTAAAATAAAAATTTCTACTAGTGTGAAAAAGCTATAAAAACCTTAACAGCCGTTTCATGTTCTCGGTGATGATATAATTATAGGCTCGTCTGCCATTCGACCAATCATGATAGAATGGCGTTGACGAGAGAGCACAATAGCCTTGTCCCACCGATAAGCCCATCAGCAAGCGAGAACTAAAGTTCAGAGTCAAATCAAACTCGTGGTTTGAATCAATTCACCTCTTTTCCGGGTTATTTTTCACGCTAAGCACATAGAGAGTCGTTAGATTTCCGCCCATACTGAAGCCTAAAAATAAACACGATTCTTATTCGATCAACGAAAATTGTACCAATTGGAAGAAACTTTGTATTCGGGTAGTTATGCATTGCCCAATTCATCATAGTTGTCAACTCCTCAATTCCACCTAAACAACACACAAACAATTAAAAGCTAGGGATCTAAATCTACTACTACCATAGCAGAAAATCCGATTTCCAGTCAATTTCTCATCGCGAAGGGCTCCCAAATGATTCAACACGATGCAACGATAGCCGGCTTCTTGAGCGAAATGGACGAGAGTTCTAAAAAGAACGATTGTAAAGTACAAAAGATTTGCCATGCCTGATATAGTTACTCTCACTCGAGTTGGCAATACCAGGCGTCAACGTGAAAGTGATATCTCGACCTGACGGATGTGCACACGTTGGCTCAAAGACGTCGAAAATCACCGTGCTTCCTAAAAGTCTAATTTGGCCATGGAATCATCAAAAACTGTAACATCAAAATCTCCAAAACCCACCATCAGGCAAAATCTCTCGAACTCTCCGATCGGCTGTTCTTCTCAAATTCGCGTGTCCGAGAACTCCGTAGGCGGCCGTTTGAATGTGTCCACTTTTTCCCCATAATGGCGGCGGTCGATAGCTTAAAAGTGAAAAATAAAAGTAAGTCACGTAAAAACTAACGGATCCTTAAGCATGTCGATTCCCAAAATCACATCGTTGATTCGGTTTTTATTCCCCTTCTCCCAAAAGGTCACTTCGGGACGACGAGGCGATTGGAAGATGTGCAACAAGCGAATCTGTAAAAACAATGTTAAACGGAAATGAGAACTGATATTTGGCCCCTCAACCCCACAAATTTATAAACATCTTCCCATTGTTGGAATACAAGAACCATATGATGTATGAAAACACTCACCAACGAAACGAGAAGTAGAAAAACGATGACCCATTGCGGTGGCGGGAGAACTTCGACCGGGGTCCATTCGCCGTCGAAGGGGGCCTCCGCCCAGGTAGGCAGCATCCAGCCCCCTACCTCCGACACCGAGACCGCCTCTGTTGCCGTGCTGAAAATGGTAAAATAGAAATAGAATAAAAGTCTAACCAGTTTTAATTAAAGTTGAAACAGAACCAACTTGCAAGCAAATTTAACTACTCGTTGTAAGCATGTACCTTTCATTTTCAAAGTAAAAGCCAACAGTGGCATTCATGATTATGCATCCTCAAATCGAGTAAATAAATAATCCCCAAAGCCAGGAATAGTAAGTTGGCTTTATTATTGAAAAAAAATGGGGAAAGGGGATCCTATAGCAACGAGGGTGGAGAGCTTTCAAGAGAAAGAAGACGTTTTTGTCTGAAGGTTGTATTTTCAATTATGGTAAGCAGGTGATTTTTATTTTCTAGACAGAAATTTTCAAATTGTCGAAGCGAATAGTAAATCTCTATTATCGCATTTCAAAGACGGCTGGTTTTATAATCAGCATAGTTTTTTTATTTTTATCTTTAAAAATTTTTGGGGGACGAATCCATACTCTGCAGGTCATTATGATAAGGATATTTGAAAGCAAAACACGCTTTTTTCACAAAGTTACAGCGATTCACGTGAAAATCCGGGGATTTCTGCAAAGAGAGAATGGAAAAAGAAAGAAAAAGCAAAAAACAATAAGCTATTGTTTCCCAGCTGTTTAATGACATAAGAATATCTGGAAGCAAAACACATTTCTTTCAAAGAGTTGAAGAGCTTCACTTTTGGTTCTTCAAGTCTATTTAAACCTGCAATTGAAACTCATTGAACCTTACCGAGTAATTATCGAAAAACCGGTTATTCGTACTTATGACGTATTCAATCATCAAGAAAGTTGCTGAAAAGAAAAGATAGGTGGGGAAAGTGCACACAAATATGAAATCATGTTTTCATGTGATGCGCAGCGATTGCTAAACGCAAAAATATCACAAGAAGCACTCGCTTTCAAGTGTCTTCTCTGCCTTTTGATGGCAAACCGAAATGGAATCCGGAAGAAGGAAAAAGAAAAACATAAAGTGAAGGAGGAAAGGCAGACTGGAAATCAATCAATTGTAAATCGGCTCAAAACGAGGCAAAGCCAGGTTTTCCGCGATGATTGTTGAAACTACAAACATTATTGGTTCAATAATATTATAGAAAATTTAATGAAGCTTTTATCTTTGATATTTAGATCAAATTTTTATAAAACTTCTACAGTTTTTTATTTTAAAAGCGATAGAGCCAAAGGTATTTCTAGCTGATATTAAATTTTTGGCCAAAAAAACTGGAACAATAGATTTTAAAATTGTTTATCATCTAGAATGATATTTCGAAATGATATATTGTCTATTTGTTCAATGAATCAACATAAGAGAAAAAAGGGTTTGAAAATTTAGGCCTTTCAACATCGATGTTATAAAGTGCAAAAGAAGGGGGCGCAAAAGGGGAAAAGAGCAGACAGACGGGCGAATCGATGTGTGTACGACTCTTTTGCGCTTTTTCGCCCTCTTTTCTTTCTTTTCAACTCAAATGCATTAGCCGAGGCAAATAAAAAGAAGAACTACATCGAACTTTGTACCTAGAAGATTATTTGGATCGGGATGGTTCAAGGTCAAAACAAAGGCTCGTTTTGACCGAGCTATTTTAATCAAAAAGATCAATAGGATCAACTTTGGACTAGCTAAATGCCAATGAAATATCCTGAGGTTTTGGCTTTGCGAACCTGCCAGGAACTTGGCTCATTTACCAGCAGTTCAACGTTCTGGTATAAAATCCCTCATTTTACAGTTTTAAGTCATAAAACTATATCCTTGCAGCCAAAACCTGCAGCCTAGGATTGATTTTAGATGATTTTAATTAGAACATTGACCTTATGACCAAAAAAACAACTTTGCAAGCAACTTTCAAAAATCTATCGAAATTCTGGTGTTTTACGGTTAACGGGAGGCAAGTTTTGCAGCCCGATTTTAGATACGTCTTTGCTAATAAATTTTGATGAAACAAATAGTTTCGGAAAGTTGACGTTCTAAGCTATCTAAATCTTAAATCTTATTAAAACTTCCTGATTTGACAAGTTTAAGGTGCTTAAAAATGAGCTGCAAGTTTGCCAAAAAGCAGTAAAGCAACAGTAAAGCACCGAAACTTCGGAAATAAGGTTTTTGAAAGATCTTAACCAAAAATGCAAAAAAATATTACTCAAACTGTGAGTAGAGACCAAGAAGACGATTGAGCGCATAGATGAACGGGATCACAAGCAGATAGACGAGTCTAAAACAAGAAAATGATCTAAGAAAAGTCAAAAATATGCAAAAGAAGAAAAAACAAACCTCATTTCAGTAGAATAAGTCTTTAAATGAGGGGGAAATGACAAGAAATGAAAAAGGGCAAATGAATTTGAAATTATTATTTAAATTAGCTGAATATTTTGTTTTTATATAGGAATTTCTGGGAGCTGGTTAAGAGAGCGACGTGTACAAACAGCCCCGGCCAAAATATTGCGTTTGCGGTTAAGTTTATTTGTGTTTTTTATTTTCATTGAATGTCGAAAAAAATTAGGGGTGGTATTAATCGCGGCCGGGTGACGATAAAATTTTTTTACGGCAACCACCTGTTTTTTTATTTTAATATTGCTGATTTTATTATAAAAAGAATAAAAATCATAAAAATCACCCGGGTAGAGTGATTTGATGGGTTTACAAATTTTTGGAGACACTGCAAGGCTTGGAGAAAAGCAAGATCGTCACTCATCAGACACCTCAGCTAAAAGGCACCTATTTGAGAAAACTAAAACCACAAGCGACCACAAATGGAAAAAAGATCTAATTGTGTCAATCAAAGCGCTGAAGACGTCCTACGGTGGAGGAGATCCAGTCACTTCTGGTGAAGATGCGCGGGAAATTGATAAGATAGGAAGCCGATTTGAGGAACTGCTGTACTCGAGCGAAGATGAAAGTGAGCAAGAGGAAGAATTATAGATTACCAAATCTATTTTTATTGTTTTTTTTTCACAGTCTAGATCGATTGAGTTTTAATTGCAGATAAATTTAAAAACAAAATAAAAAGCAAAAAAAACAATAAAAATAGATTTGGTAATCTATAATTCTTCCTCTTGCTCACTTTCATCTTCGCTCGAGTACAGCAGTTCCTCAAATCGGCTTCCTATCTTATCAATTTCCCGCGCATCTTCACCAGAAGTGACTGGATCTCCTCCACCGTAGGACGTCTTCAGCGCTTTGATTGACACAATTAATTTTTTTTTTTTTTTTTTTTTGTTTTTTTTTTTTTTTTTTTAATATGTGTTTTTTTTGTTGGGGTGTTTGTGACGATCTTGCTTTTCTCCAAGCCTTGCAGTGTCTCCAAAAATTTGTAAACCCATCAAATCACTCTAGCCGGGTGATTTTTATTCTTTTTATAATAAAATCAGCGATATTAAAATAAAAAAACAGGTGGTTGCCGTAAAAAAATTTTTATCGTCACCCGGCCGCGATTAATACCCCCCCTTTAACTGCAGAAGGAAAACATCAATGGGACATTACTTTTGTGGAGCTATTTCTTAAGTAACTTATTGTTTTTGTTTTATACTTTAATTTTTCTGTAATGTATACGGATAAATCTTATAATCCTGAAAAGTAGAGTATTATGGGTAAGCAAAATACCCTACACTTTTTGGGAATATCGTTATTTTGCAAGATTTTCGTACGAAAGAAACTTTTGGATGGCAATGGGACAATACATTTGTGGACCACTGTATGCAAAATGTAGATAATTTCATTCTGCATCCAATAAGAATAAGAAACACATAGAAACTTAACCGCGGAGGGGTTATTTTTGCTGTGGCGCTGTTTTAATCAGCTCTCGAATTTTCAATTTTAAAATTTAAAGCTAAATTAAATATTTTCAAATGAAAATTGATGTGTTTTTGTGTAAAGTTGTTCAATGTAAATTTCAATGTTCACATTGGCTCAATGTTTATTTGTAAAAAAACAATCGTTTTGACCAGACCAAAGTGCGAATATCACCCGGAGGCAAAATAAATAGAAAAATAAACAAGTACACGGTTTTAATAAAGAAATAAATCTAAAATATCCTTAGAAAATGAATAATATGCTATTAAAAGTTGAATAAGTTATTTGGATAGTTAAAGAGAATCGTAAAAATCTAGTGGATTGGTTTGGAAATTTTATGGATTTTGACTCGGTAGGGATTAAACCTGTTTATCGATGAAGTTTAGTGTAAAATAGGAAATAAAATAGGAGTACGATAGAAAGGAGTACGATAGAAAAGGTGCGACACGTGCTTTATTCAGCGATTCGATCAATTTCGATCAATTTCTCTTCATCTTCGACCCGTTTCGAGAATTCACCCCTCGACTCAACAAAGCTTCCGCTCGGCGATTGATTGATAGCCAATAGCTGAACATTTTTAACGGTTAAGAAATATACTTTTTGATGAAATTCTGGGGCAATACAGGTTTGGAGGGCGGGCGGGGCCTCAAAAATGCCTCTGGCAAGTGCCTTTTCTTGGGTTTTCAGCCACGCTGAATCGATTGGGAATATTTTTAGAACGGGTTTGTGACTTACTTTTTTGTGGTCGAGGCAGGTCTACCTTATGTCCGTTAACAGGCAGTCTTAACCTATGCTCGGCCAATACTCGAACGGGATTAAACATACTAGACTGTGCTCGACCAGTACGCTATATGTGCGGAGCCTTAGCCTAGATAAATCTACTATATATAAAGAAGAAGAGACGTCCGTCTGTGCGCAGCCATTGGCAAAAAGGGGCGGAACTTAGATTGCGCAGAAAACGTGGACCTCCCCAGTGGAAAACGCGAACGTTAGTGAGCGTAGGCAAAGAGGTAGACAAAGAGGGTGGTGCGTAGCACGTCTAGCCCGTTAACAACACTCGAGGCAGCATCAAGCCTATGCTCAGCCAGTACTCTGAGCCATAGCCTAATATAAGCTTAGTGTAGCAAGAAAAAGCTCTGAAAATATTACGAATCGATTTAGCGTGGCCGAAAACCCTAAAAAAACTGTTTTTGGCACTGACCAGAAGTATTTTTGAGGGCCCACCCAACCCGTATAGCCCCGAAATTCTAATTATTGGAAATTTCTAATGTCTGAACTTTGCTACAACGCAAAAAGGACAAATTTAGTGCGCCAGAGGGTTTGTTTTCACGGCACAAAGTACAGCCGCATAATGCGTTGCGCAGAGCTTAAATGGGCTTTGATTGAAGCATGATCTTAGAGTGATCTCAGTGCTACTCTTAGAGTAAACAGCTAATTTGTATTAGGGTACTTATTATAGGTATTTTGGTAGCTCTTTGATGTATTACGGTACTTAGCATAAGAATTACGATAGCTGCTTATAAATTCTTGTATTACAAACCTGTCTTTTCACAAGTGCCGCATACAATCCCTCCTTGTCTTTCATCAAATCTCGATGATTTCCCGTCTAAATTCTACCGTATTCTACCGTATTCTACCGTATTCTACCGTATTCTACCGTACGTTTTACCGTATTGTTTATTCTTTTTCTATCACATTATTTGTGTGAATCAATATTTATCAATATTTCTTTTTTATTTCTTCGAATAGATGACCGATCTCGAATAAAAGATCGCCTCGAATCTCACTTTTATTCGAAGTATCGCTTATTTTCTATTTTACGCTAAAATTGCCGTATCCAAAATCAAAAAAGTAAGCCCAAAAGTGCATTTTTAGTGTATTTTTTATTCCGTTTCATGTTTTTTTCTGTTCTGTTTCATGTTATGATGTGTCAACCCTTCAAAAAGAAATTTGAGAAGCTCTACACTGACTGGTTCTCAAATCAAATGCTATCAACTAGCTATCAAATGAAACGAGGACTTTTACGAAAGACGAAAATCCTCGAAATGGATCAGTTTCTTCAATGGATTGCGTGGGAAAGCCTACCAAACAAGCTAATCGAGAAGTCTTTTAAAAAATAAAAAAATAAAAAGAATTTTAAAAAAAAAAGCGACTTAGAGTCCTTAGAGTCGACTTCATACCTGAGTTTTGCTAGTTTTCCCTCCAATCGCGCAAAATCCAGCTTGCAATGACCATTTTCAACAACTTCTCCTTTGCGAAAACAAACAATTTGATTATCTTCGCTGGCAACCAATGCATTTGATTCCACAATTTTTAAAAGACTTCTCGATTAGCTTGTTTGGTAGGCTTTCCCACGCAATCCATTGAAGAAACTGATCCATTTCGAGGATTTTCGTCTTTCGTAAAAGTCCTCGTTTCATTTGATAACTAGTTGATAGCATTTGATTTGATAACCAGTCAGTGTAGAGCTCATCAAATTTCTTTTTGAAGGGTTGACACATCAGACACATGAAACAGAACAGAAAAAAACAGAACAGAAAAAAAAGCGTTTTTTTTTTGTTTTTAAACTAGAGAAATATTTAGAAAAATTTTTAGAAAAAAACTGAAGGAAAAAATGCTGGTAATTCTTGAACACCCTGTACTGTACCGTACTGTACCTTGTACTGTACCGTACCTGCACAAGAGCTCCTCCTTCTAGAACACAAATTCGATCGGCTTTCTCGATCGTGGAGAGTCGATGAGCGATGATCAGCACTGTTCTTTCCTTGGCACATCTGAGAAATTTGGAATTTGGGATAACTAATCGAATGAATTGGATAAATGAAGAGTTTTATTTGCTAGACGGCTAACAGTTACAGCTACTTTGAGCGTACTTTGTGCTAAACTGTACCGCTAAATTGTAAACACTTTTTCTGACGACCTCAATTCTTCATTTTCCTTGCAATTTCAGGTAGTTATTGTGGGAAAATGAAAAAGTAAGTGCGCCAGGAGGGGTACGTTTACATTTTCAGCACAAAATACATGTTTACTGTGTACCTGTTGAGTGCCTCTTGTACAAGTGCTTCACTTTCCGCGTCCAACGCCGATGTAGCCTCATCAAGGATGAGCACCGCCGGATTTCTAACCAAAGCTCTTGCAATGGCGATTCGTTGTTTTTGACCCCCTTAAATAGCTTGGTTTAAGAATTTGATAATTTTCGTTTCGTTTAATTACCTAAATCTGTCTTCCCGATTCAAGACAAAGCCGTTTTTAATGAGGCACCAGGAAAGAGAGCACAAGTCGGACTTTTAGCTTAGCCAGCTTAGCCATTCAAAATTTCAAATTAAGGTCATAAAGAAACTCAAAGAAATTTGAAAATAAACTTTTTTTCTAACTTTCTAACTTTCTAACTTTTTTTAAAGCTTTGCCTCACCTGACATTTGTACTCCTTTCTCTCCACAATTCGTCTCATAACCACCCTCCAACTTTTGCACAAAATTGTGCACGTTTGCCGTCTTTGCAGCCTAGAATTTATATTTTATATGAAGCTGCTTTGCTGGCCATCCACTACGCGGCTATTTTGCTAAAATTTGCATTAAATTCCCCCTCTTAAGTGAAAATTTGACGTGAAATGCAAATTGGGCGGCTGTTGTAAATTTTAAAGTCGAATAACTCGGCGGGAAATGATGTTTTTTACAAATGGACTTCAAATTCGGAATCAGCGAATTTTTTACCCTAAAATGGGAGTTTTCAGCCTTCTAGCTCCAAAGACTTGGCTCCATATCGGACAGATCGGTTCCTTATCGGTCAGACGGATCTCCTTACAGCCAGACAGACGGACAGACGGACAGACGGACGGACAGACGGACAGACGAACAGACGGACGGACGGACAGACGGACAGACAGACAGACGGATAGACGAACAGACGGACGGACAGACAGACGGACAGACGAACGGACGGACAGACGAACAGGCGGACGGACAGACGGACAAACGAACAGACGGACGGACAGACGGATAGACGAACAGACGGACGGACAGACAGACGGACAGACGGACAGACGGACAGACGGACAGACGGACAGACGGACGGACAGACGGACGGACAGACGGACAGACAAACGGCATGATATATATTATAATAAGAGATAGTTTAGCACGTTCTAAATATAATCTAACATTTAGCATGTCCTCTTCCGTCGCCCAATCACATCCATACAGAATATTGTATCGAATTGATCCATCGTAGAGAATCGGCTCTTGAGCAACGAGGGCTATCTGAAAACGAATTCTTGAGGTGTACTTTGTGCTCAATCGCTTAAACGCAGCATTTCTGAGGCACTGAATTCTTAATTTTCCTTCCAGCAACGACTTGGTATCAAAAATGAAGACTTCAATGACCAGAAAGGATGCGTTTCCAGTTCTTGATCACCAAACTCAGTCAATCAAAAAGAATGCTTGGGCAATGTAATATGCACAAAGTATTAAAGTTACTGTACTATTTATTTCAGTATCTAAGGCCCAGTCTCGTATTCATTTCATCAGCTCACCCTTTGATGATACCACCAATGATTGATGTCTTTCACGGGAATCCCATCCAAAAGAATCCGTCCCTCATTTGGTTCATAGAAATGTTGAATGAGTGAGACGACAGACGATTTTCCGCCGCCTAATAATAACAGATAGATATATCAAGATCAGAAGCTTTATTCCAAAAAAATCAAGCCAAAATCAAGCCAAAGCTAAACCAGTCAAGGCTTGGTTTAGTTTTAGCATTTGGTTTGACCCATCAGCCTTGTTTTGACTTAGGAATTGGCTCTAGGAAGAAAAAACGTCAGATCTATTGGGTTGATGAATTGAAAAATGCGGGACTTTGAATTAAAATTTATTTAACGGCATTAACGGTCGTCTTGCTATCCAGTACACCACTCCCTCCATATCCCAGAAAACGCAGAGCATAAACTTCTTCTGGTGCAAATCGGGCTTAGGGTCACTTTCAGGTCACTCGCCTGGCCCCACCCATTGCTACTTCCACTGAAAGTTCACAGATAAAACCCATTTCTCATCTCCTATCACAATTCGAGAAAGAAAAGATTTCCTTTTGTAATGTGAGAGATGGACGGCACTGATCGAGGCTCGCTGCCACTTCTGGGGGTCAGTGAGGTCACTGACCTCACTGGGGTGGGACACCCAAATCCCAAGTTTCGATTTAAATCCAAGGATATGAAGATGCCTTAGCACTGTAGCATGATCAACCCCTAACTCTTGAAGTGTTGAAATAGCCAAACCCCCTTTCAGCTGGTTCAATGCTGTTGTTTTTTCCCGCGAAATAGCCGGCAGTTTTCAATTCACCAACCCAATCTAGATCTAGATCTTTCCTTTTCCTTACCTGATGGTCCCACCAATGCCACTGTCTCGCCAGGATGAATGTGGAGATCAAAATTCTGAAAACGGCAGTCATCAAAAAAGAAACTTCTTTGATATATTCAACTTGCAGCCACAAAGTGTAAAGGATTACATTGCTGCTCTGTCTTTGTCTTTGTTTAAAAGTTCTTTGTTCTGTATAATCTGGTATCTATTGTACTTGTCTATATCTTTTTAAGTTTTATGATCATCAAGCTCATTTTTCCCCACCTTTAGAACAGGGTTATTCGGTCGACTTGGATACGTGAAAGAGACACCCTCAAGCAGGAGATCTCCTGTCACTTTTGGACGCTGTTTTCCCTCAAATGGGATTGCAGGTTTTCTGGAAAATGGGATTTCATGAAAATATTCTTTAATATATTCTTTAAAATATTCTTTAAAATATGCTTTTATTGGAGACAAGACTATTTTGATCTCGCCTTACCAACTAACAACTTTGAAAGTTGCATTTGCATTTGCATTTGATACAGTTTTGTTTCTAAAGCAAATAGGCTTGCTTTAGATCTGGTCTAATATTAGATGGAGGTCTAATATTTGAAGTATTCCAACCTATTCATGTACTCAAAAACTTTACGACTCGCTCCCACACTCTCCATCAAACCAGTCATCACGTAGCCGATACTCTAAAGATGTTTATTTTTATGCAAAATCATTGAAGCCTGGCCAGGCTTTGCATTACTAACAAAAAGTTTTGAGCTATTAGGTTGGACCATATGAAATGTCGATCACTTTACCATGGAGCACATTCGATGGTGAATTCAACAAGAATTCAACAAGAATTCAACAAGAATGACCAGCGTGAAAAATCTGATTTTTATATGCTTTTGTTGTTTAGAATAAATTGTTACCTAAAGGAGTTTTTATTTAATTTAATGTTTGTAAAAAAAATGAGATTTCTTTTGCATCAACCTAGTAGATAGTTAGATAGAAAATGTCTTTAGTAATCTACTTTCAATAAATGAGAAAAACCTATGGTGAATTGAAGGAATGGGGTCATGGTAAAGTGGCCGACATTTCATTTGGCCCAATCATATCAGCATTGAAGTTATTCTTGCTGCTAGTCACTTTGGCCACCCAGCTCTCGCCAAAAACACTCCACTTACATATAAATTTTCGCCCAATTGCATTTGGTACATCAGGAATTTGATCAAATTGTCCGTGCTCAAATGTCCTGAAAATAGTTTTGCAATTTCATCTACTGTAAATTAACAAAACGTCATTTCCTCGCCCTGTACAGTCTAGCTTTTTTAGAAAACCATTTTCTCAGCACCTAGACTTTTCCCAACTACCTTTTTGGTACCAAAAAATACTAGATTTCAAGAGCTATCATTTGATACCATAAAGCACAGTGTAGCTTAAACCAGAGCGGAGAATGGGACGCTTAAAGTTAGACTACACGACTGTACGGATGGGGATGGCGCTTTATTAGAGGATTTATCAATAATTAGAGGATTTATCTTATCAATAAGTCTGTAATCGCATAGGTATTATATTAAATTATTAAAGCTCTTAAAAACTAGCAAAAAGGTATTCAGTTATTCACCGGTTAACACCAAATGTCCTCCATAAAAGAGAACGCCGACGAGGATGGCGTTGTCACAAAATTCATTCGTCCACGTGTATCCCATATAAGCCAAAGCTCTAAAAATTCAAGTTTTAAATGTAAATTTCATTTATGAATGTAGATTTTACATTGTAATTTGTTTTTTTTTGACATAAATAAACTACTTTTTCTTGTTGACACCGAGCGTTTCGCTGACGTGATTCTCGAAGCGTTTCACCTCTCGATCCTCACAGGCAAATGATCTAAAAGCATTAAAATCTAATCATTAATATCTAGAAATGTTTTAGAATATGTAAATTTATGCAAATTTATGTAAATTTAAACTTTAAACCCGTTTTAATTCACCCACCGAACCGTTCGCATCGTTGATAAAACCTCTTCAGCCATTTGATTCGCTTTGGCGATCGTTTCTTGGGTTCGCTCGGATAATTTCTAAAAGAAAGTCTAAAGAAAAGCTACCGTAATACCTGTAAGAAGTGCCGTAATCCTTTAAACAAGCTACCGTAATCTACTATAAATAATGGGACTAAGACGTCTGTCCGTCTGTCTGTCTGTTCGTCTGTCTGTCTGTCCGTCTGTCCGTCTGTCCGTCTGTCCGTCTGTCTGTCTGTCCGTCTGTCTGTCTGTCCGTCTGTCTGTTTGTCTGTTCGTCCGTCTGTCTGTCCGTCTGTCCGTCTGTCTGTCTGTCTGTTTGTCTGTTCGTCCGTCTGTCTGTCCGTCTGTCTGTCCGTCTGCTTATGCGCGCTACTCCTCAGCCCCCGGAGGACCGTTTGCAATGATTTTTGCGCCGTTTAATAGGGAATTAGGAGTAATTGGGCAACGTGCTTTTGAATTTTTTAAAAAGCGCAATTCGAGTCGCACGGGGAGGTCGAACCCGGATCGTATGGGCGATAGACCGGCGCGCTATCCACTGCTCCACGGCGACAAAGGCCGTCCGTCCCCAAAATATCCAGAAAAACCGGGTTAGTCGGGTTTCTCGGCCGGTACTTATAATAAATCTTGCCTATCGCTACGCCACTTGACTACGATTACGATACAATACGCAATAATACAGGTATTACGGCTGGCTTATCAAATGTCTTTTTGCTCTAAACTTTTCAACTCACATCATAGTACGATCCGTACAATTTTGTGATAAAAGCCACCAGCGGAATCGCGATGAAAGTCACCATTGAGAGCCGCCACGAGAGAGCGAACATGAACACGAGAGCGCCTGGAATTAGACCTGACAACTACAAACAACAAACGTAAACTACAAACGCTTATAACTTGCTTTAAATCTACTAGATTGACATAATCTATAGCTCAAAAAATGAAAGAATCTTAAGAGCTTTCGAATGGACTAAAGCACACTCAAAAATATGAATGGTAAAGAAAGTTGCAGTGGTTTGTAGCCTCGATCGCTTCGACTAACAAGTCGAACAGTCCGTTTCGACTACAAACCACTGTAACTTTCTTTACCATTCATATTTTTGAGTGTACTTTAGTCCATTCAAAAGCTCTTGAGATTCTCTATTTTTTGAGCTATAAATTATGTCAATCCAGTAGATTTAAAGAAAGTTATAAGCGTTTGTCGTTTGATAGTTCGTCATTTTTGTAGTTTATAGTGTCCATGTCTACCGGGAATGATTAAGTTAAACTTTTGAAAGACACAGAAACTACTGAGCGGTTGTTTTTGAAATAATAGCCACTCACCCAACAGCATGACGCCATTCCGCAAGAAAACGTTCAAATTCACGGCTACTGTGCTGGCCATCGTTTGACAATCCGACGTCAAACGGGAGATCATTTCACCTAAAGCTTTTAAATATTAAAATTTTAAAAATTAGCTTGATATTATGTAGTATTTATCGTAAATACTCTAATAGAATCCCTCCTCTATAGGAGCGTCGCGTAGTCTAAGTTTACTATCAAACAAACGCTCATATCTCAACACCAGTACATTTGTTTCTGCGCACTTAGGTATCAAATTAAAGTAGAGAAAATGGGTAATTTTTTAAGATATAACACAGATTTTTAGCTTTAACCAGTGCTTAGAAAAAAGTGATTGAAAAATGATGAAAAATCGCCTTTTTTGCCACTCTCAAAAAAACGCCCAAATCTTGACATCAGTGAGTTTATTTCCGCGCGCTTAGGTATCAAATTAAAGTAGAGAAAATGGGTGATTTTTTGAGATATAACACAGATTTTTAGCTTTAACCAGTGCTTAGAAAAAAGTGATTGAAAAATGATGAAAAATCGGCTTTTTTTGCCACTTTTCAATCACTTTGTTCTAAGCACTTGTTAATGCCAAGAATCTGTGTTATATCTCAAAAAATCACCCATTCTCTCTACTTTATTTTGATACTAAAGCGAGCAGAAACAAATGTACTGTTGCTGAGATATAAGCGTTTCTTTTAGAGTAAATTTATACTACGTGACGCTCCTATAGAGGAGGGTTTCTATTAGGTTGGCGACATTGAAATTTCGTTTTTTTGCAGCAACAAGTTTATTCGTAAAAATAGACTAGAAACAATTAATCAACAATCTATTCCCCACAGCTATCAATAACATTTTTTCCATCTTCGACGCAAATTATGGATACTCTCTTGAAAGAATTGTGCTGGTTTTGATTGAAAGAAAGCAGAGACCCATTTTTTGATGTCTTCAATGTTCTGGAACTTGTGGCTTTCGAGTGAATGCCGAATACTTCAAAAGAAATGGTAGTCAGACAGGGCAATATCTGGACTATAAGGCGGATGAACTAGAAGTTCCCAGCCCCATTGCTCAATCTTCTCTTGCGTAATTTTGGCAACGTGAGGACAGGCATTGTCTTGTAACAATCGCCCCGTTGTTGGATCAATTTCTTTTGAGCGAGGAACCGCGTCCGCACGATCTAGTTGTTGAACGTAAAGCTTTGCATCAACAGTCTGACCAGAAATTAACACTTCAAAATGGACCGAGTCTCGGGTATTCCACCAAACCGACAGCATAACTTTCTTTGCGTGAAAATCTGGTTTAGGTATTGGCTTTGGAATTTCTCCTGGGTCGAGCCATTGTCTTATCCTTGTAATACTGTCATAATAAATCCATTTCTCATCAGAAGTTAAAATTGCATCCCAAAACCCACTATTCTTGGAAATTCTAAGCAAATTTCCTGAACAAAGAACTCTGGTGGCTTTGCTTGCATCGCTTAGTGAATGTGGAATCCATTTTCCAGCTTTATTGAGCTTGCCCAATTCATGCAAATGGTTTTCGGTTGTTTTATGATCACAATTAAAATATTCCGCAAGTAGTCATATGTAGTCTTTATCGGATCACTTTCGATTATCTGCTTCAAATCGTCGTTTGTCCTCGTCCCAGATCTTCCAGACTTCCGTCACCCATTCGAAATCTTTTGAATCTTTTGAACTTTTGAGTTTTGACATTGATGAACAGTGATAACATCTTTCTCAAATACGTTACAAAGTGATTCATGCGATTCAGTTGCTGTTTTTTCATGTTGGAAATCGTACAGCAACAAATGCGAAGTCGATATTTTGAGGTCATCTAGCATCTATAAGATTTTTTAATTAAAATTCTTCAACTAGAAATAAAGAAAAGACGCGTAATAAAGTACAATAATTATATCTTTAAAACAGAAGAGATTGCGGTGGTAATAGTATCCACAGTGTTAAAATCCATAAAGAGAAACGCAAACGAAATTTCAATGTCGCCAACCTAATATTAGAGTATTTATGGTATTTACGGTATTTACGGTATTTTGTAGAAATGATACCCGATTTCGTGATATCAAAGAAAGCAATATCTTGATGAGCGAGTGAGCGAAAAAGATCGAGACGGATTTGTCGATTCACTCGGGCACTCGCATAGTCAAAACATCCACCACGGAGACCGCCAAAGATTGTGCTAAATGTCACTTATCAATTAAACGTTGAACTGTAGATTACCGTACTTTAGACAGACGTTAGACAGACTTTAGACAGACAAGAATTACGGTACTCAAAGACTCTGTAACGTTATACTCGCACTTTAGTGTACTTTCTCGCAGCTACATTTGACTAAAGCAAGCTAGCAAACAACAGTAGACTCGGGCAATGAGCTGGAAAGCTAGTAGAGACTACAGTAGACTACAGTACGCTACAAAACTACAGTACGCTCTAGTACAATCTTTTTAAACAACACCAAATCTAATGTAGAATCTGTTGTACTTACGAAACAAGCGTCAATCCACTCATAATAAAAATGCTCGTAAGTAGCTCAGAAAGTGATTTGATTTGAACAATCGTTGAGATCACTTGACCCGTGTAGAGTGGGATGAAGACTCGAGCTAAAATTTGTTAATAAATACGATTCATTAATAAATAACACACAGTAAACTGTTGGCTTGCTTGGCTTATTAGGGAAAAGCACAAAATTCCCGTGAGCTTTCGTTTCCAGATCACATACAACTTACTAAATCGAGTATGGAGATTCATAATCTAAAATCAAAAACTGCCAAATAAGCTTGCAAACGCGTAAAAATTGAATCGAAATTTCGAAGCTTAAAAGGACTTTAAAGCATTGAAGAAAATTGAACTGAAGGTTTAAAGGGCGCTTTTTAGTGGGGTGGATTTGGGCACTGGTGGCCTAGTGGATAGTGGGACGGCCTCTCGGCCGTAAGGTCGGGGTTCAGTCCCACTCTCGGTTTTTGATTTTTTTTCTTTAGATGTAATACTTTGCCTTGTAACCATTCAAACAAAGCAACAAACCTGTAACAAAGCCAAAGGTGAAATGTTAACATAGATGAAACGAGATCACGAGGCTTCCAAAACAATAAAAATTTCCCCGATGCGAACGTCTGATAAAAGCAGAATTTTTGGGCTTTTTTTCAAATCACGATTTACATCACAATGAGCAATGAACGGGTAAAAACCTGTAAAGTATTACATTTAAAGAAACAAAAACCAAAAACCAAGAGCGGGACCGAACTCCGACCTTACGACCGATAGGCCGTTCCACTATCCACTAGGCCACCAGTGCCCAAAGTCCACCCACTGAAAAGCGCCCTTTAAACCTTCAGTTCAATTTTCTTCAATTCTTTAAAGTCCTTTAAAGCTTCGAAATTTCAATTCAATTTTTACGCGTTTGCAAGCTTATTTGGCAGTTTTTGATTTTAGATTATGATTCTCCATACTCGATTTAGTAAGTTGTGATCCAGAAACGATCCAGAAAGAATGTGATCCAGAAACGAAAGCTCACGGGAATTTTGTGCTTTTCCCTAGTAACATTCCTATAGAAATGACAAATCGAAATTCTTTTAGATCTTTTAGAAAACTTGACAAGGCTGTATATTATTAAATAATATTCATATCTACTTTTCTAACCTGTTGAATAAACAATGAGAAATCCGAAACCGCCCGAGAACCAGGCCCACTCATTTCCACAATATTTCAGTAATCGTTTGATATGTGCCGAGGTGGGAATTCGTTTTTCTGTGTCTAAAGTGTATCGGATTGGGAGTTCAATTGGTCATTTCGGAGATGGCTGACAAGAAGGTACGTAACTTTGTTAATTCTATCACCTTTTTATGGTTTGTACAAACGAAAAAGATAATATTTAAATTTAGCCAACGAAATCTTCAAGCAAGGCGCGAAAGTTGTCAAATGTTAAGTCAAAAGTGGCCTCATCGACTTACTCGACGAGGACGAAAGATCTTGAGAAAGGTGCTCCGGCTGGAGGAAACGAAATTTTCGACACGGTGATTAATGATACATTTCTTAATCTAATCTTGCTTATTGATAGTGATAGTTTGGTGAAAAATGTACAGAGGTAAAAGTACAGCAAGCTGTACACTTGCTTTAAGCAAGTGTAGATTTTGCTGCTTGCCAATAGCTCTTTATTTTATTTGTTTTAGGTGAAGAGGATGTGCACAAAGAAAATCCTCATTGCTGCGGTAGTGCTTCTGTTTGTTGGTGAGTTAAAATTGGACTTTATTTGAATTACTTTTACCTTGAATAACTTGAATACAAAATTTTTGTAGAGGCTGGCCCAATCTGGTCCAGTCAATCACAGATAAATAGATAAAATGGTAATATTTCTAAAATCTACCTGTACTTGTTGTTTCAGCATCCGTAGCTGTTGCTGGAGTTGCTGGAGTGGCCTCGGTCAACTCAATGAGTCTTTCATACGGTAAATGATTGGCAGCTAGGATAAAGTACCTAAAATAATGTTGATAACGTAATCCTATCCACCGTAATCTTTTACCTAGCTACCGTAATCCTTTCCTAGTAATCACCAAAGCCTTATTCATTCATTGGATTGTTCATTGGATGTTCATTAACCCAATGAAGGTCATTGTAAACAGATCTTCCCGTTAAACGTTAAAAGAGTAGTCAAATTACGTAGTCAGAGTAGTCAGAGTAGTCAAATTTTTTCTCAAGGCCACTTTTTAGATAGAGATAATCAATTTGAGAACATTTCAATAAGAAAAAGCTCATTTCAACTCACCAAGCCAATGCAAAAACGATAGAACAGAGAATCGTCAAACTGACAGAGAACCAAATGCCCGGCCATGTCAAAATCTCGACATTTTCCGATAAAGCCAATAATTTTATCTGAAAAATATCTAAAAATATAGCAAGTAAATACCGTAAAGCACAGTCCGTTGACTATTGTCGCCATCGCCGACTGGCTAAGACTGGCTAAGACTGGCTAAGAGTCCTAGTCGGGTGCTCAAGGGTTCAATCCCGCTGGCTAGATTATTAGTTCTTCCCCCCCCCATGTATATAGGCTTTTTCCTACTTTTAGGGCTTAGAACTTGGGTACTTTTGTATTGTATTTGTTGAGTACTTGTGTATTTGTTTATTGTACCACATGATTCGTGTATATAAATCTATCTTTACAGTAACCCAAAAGAGGCAATCATCTACAAGACTAGTTTTCGTGTCACAAGGCGTCTACAAGACGTGTCAGTTTCTCTTTCTATCGTAATCTTGTCTCTATTTTCTTTATCCAATCTATCGACTTTTCTTTGATTCTGTTAGGGTACACAAAGGATATCGAAAGATATAAAAAGTAGATGGATTAGATGAAAAAATAGAGACAGGATTACGGTATAAAGAGAAAAAGAACACGGTTTAGAAAAGGCAGAATTTGAGAGGAATCTTTGAAGACTTGTTTTAAAGATATTTAAAGATTTAAAGATTACTGATTGAATACTTTAATCAAGGCATACTTTAGCATAGTATTTACCGTATTTACTCTAGGGGCCCCCCACCCCCTTCCGCGACCCCACTAGGAAAAAAAGCATAAACCAAAGTTTTAGAAAAGATATCAATTTTCTCCGAAATTCTTGACAAAACAAGTTTGGCTTCATATTCTTTAGCTTAACCGTAACAAACATTACAAACGAAAAGAACACCAGGAGCACAATTGATGTATCACTTTCGTTACCAATATCTTCCTCCAATTCAGAGGACCCCCTATTTTCCCCCCCAGGCGCCCCACTATTAGAGGACCCCACCATGGAGGACCCCACTTAGGTAAATACGGTATCTTGCATCATGATTCTTGATACTGATGCACTTGGGACCCACTTTTTCTTTAAAGTTTTTCACTTTTCTAAGAGTAATCGATAGCGTTGATGCCAAAAATCGCATTTTTTCGATGGGTTTTCAATCAAAAATTTGGCATTTCACGTTGTAACTGTAAAAACACATTTGAAACTGTTGTTGTAAATGCAAATTAACGTTTTAAATGCAAATTAGGGTTTTAAATGCAAATTCGCCTTTTAAATGCAAATTAAGCTATTTAAATGCAAATTTTGAGCATTTTAAAGACAAATTCATCTTCATAATTGTTTTTTTTGATCCATTACAAGCTATTAGCTATTTGGCTAATATTCTGTGTAGGCTCTGGCCCAGGCTTAGGCTCAGGCTCTGGCTCAGGCTTAGGCTTAGGCTCTGGCTCAGGCTTAGGCTTAGGCTCTGGCTCAGGCTCTGGCTCAGGCTTAGGCTTAGGCTCTGGCTCAGGCTCTGGCTCAGGCTTAGGCTCAGGCTCTGGCTCAGGCTTAGGCTTAGGCTCTGGCTCAGGCTCTGGCTTAGGCTCTGGCTTAGGCTCTGGCTCTGGCTTAGGCCTAGGCTTAGAACTTGTTACTATTACTTGTTACTATGACACGCATATTACTGCAATGGCTCAAATATAAGCTGTGAAATTTGAATTTTTGAAAAAGTGGACCGTCAAAGTACCTTCACCTTTATCTTACTAGTACCTTTATCATTTTTTTGTCACTTACCAAAACATAACTATACGAAGCGATTGCCAAACCGAGAATCAGCTTGAACAACCCTCGAACCCAGTCATTCCTCTTTAAAAGCACCAGCAAGAGACCCGCTATCTGGAAATATAGATAATCTAGATAAAATTATCTGTAAAATTATCTGTAAATCTATCTCTAGATTTATACAATAATCCAACTTACCAATAAAAATATTCTTATCAGCGAGAGAATCACAAAATCGATCGGATCGCTTAGAAACGAGTAACCATCGAGAAAGAAAAGATATCTGAATAAAAAGCTATACTTATTTTGAATGCAAATTACATAACGTATTTTCTCTAATAGTAGTGCACCCCGGCCGAGCCGAGTTGGTGACGATTTTACGGTTTTCAAGCTTTTGCAGAAGCTCAACACTCAAATCCCCCACTAGATCTCATCGTCAGCTACATTTTCCGACCCCACATCGATAGGTTCTGATAAGCGGTTCGAGAGATTTCGAGAGATTTAGGCGACGCTCTGGGTGCACTACTATTAGAGAAAAGACGGTATACAGTTAAGTACACTACTGAAAAATGAAATATCATATTTGAAAAAAGATCGTCACTTTCGCACGTCTGTAACTCCCTTGTCTTTACCGTATTTCTAAATTTGAATATTACCATTGTGTAGCCCTTGAAAAGAGCTTTCAGAAAATGTATAACACTAATAGTTTAAACTCAAAGACAAGGGCGTTACAGACGCGCGAAAGTGACGATCGTTTTTCAAATATGATATTTCATTGTCCAGTGTTGTATATCTATTTAATGATAGAGCTGAAGCCTTTTGAACTAGAATATCAGACAGAAATGTCACAGATTCGAACCCGCGACTTCTTGTTTAACCCCGCAAACGCATTACAAAGCTATGCAGCTAAGTTATGCAGCTAAGCTATGCAGCTAAGCTATGCAGCTAAGCTATGCACTCAAATTTCAATAAATATTGTTGAATTTATAGCTAGATATATCAAACTAACTTGTAGACAAGATCTCCATCAAAACTCCATTCTTTATGATAATATCCGAGCGGAAGTATTGAGAGAACAGCGTCAAGGATCGTCAAACTGATCGTCACCGGTACAACCACTCCCGATCGCATTCAGAGGGTTTTTGTGAATCTGAATTTACATTATATTGCTTGAAAACTCATTCATATTGCTCATAATAAAAAAATCATAGCTCAAAACAAATCGTAAATCAAATAAAATCATTCAAATCATGTTTTCTAAAAAGTGCTCATTTCTAAACGCGTTTTCTAAAAAGCGCTCTTTTCTAAAGCTGCCAAAATTTTCTTTTTATTTCATTTTCTATTTCATTTCAATTCATTCAATTCATTTTCTAAAGTTTTTCTTGTTCTTTTTCTATTACTATTGAAATTTATTTTTAAACAAATATTTATATTTAGAAACAACAAACAATGAAAGAATATAGTCAACAAAACGAGAAGAACGCGAACAGAAGGAGAAGAACGCGAACAGAAGGAGAAGAACGCGAACAAAAGGAGTAGAACACGTTCCCAGGACAGTTTTTTTCTGTATATTTTCGATACTTTAAAAAACTTATCAGCGTTTTTTGCTATCCATGGCATGCTTGCCGTAATTGTCTAAAAAATAATATTAAACCCTGCTTGAGAAAAAGCTATTAGGGTGGTAGGAATGAAACCGGCGCTCACATATCTTTCCAAAAATAAAAAGATTGCAAGCCTCAGTCAATCAAGTGTTGTATACTGCTCGAAAGCCCTGAATCTCTTCTACAAAATAGCGCAAAAAGATTTCGAATTGGATTGATTATTGACGACTTGGATGACTTTAAAGTTGAAAGGTCAAAAATGACAATTTTCTGGTGCGATGCCGGGGTTTTTCGTTAAAAAATACCACCAATTAACGTTATTTCAAAATAAAATAGAAGAAAAGAACTCTTTTTGTTTGTTCGTCTTCTAGAGCTAAACCTTTGTTTTTCGAAAAAGCTCCATTTTAGGCGAAAAACTACTTTCAACTTTGGATTCTCATATCTCGATAGAATCTAAGCTGGTCGTTTAAGTTTTGGTATAAATATTGAGTAATGTATATCCTTGATATACTGGAAGAAATTTGACTTTAAAAGATCAGCGGAAGCGATAGTTGCCAGCAGGCGCAGGTACCCAGGTTGAGGCTCGATCTGCGGTTACTTTTTAACACCCAAGTCCCCAATAACCAATCCAATTCAAAATCTTTTTGCACTATTTTGTAGAGGAGATTCAGGACTTTCGAGCAGTATACAACACTTATTCGCTGCGGCTTGCAATCTTTTTATTTTTGGAAAGATATGTGAGCGCTGGTTTCATTTTTATCACCTAATAGAAAAAATAAAAAAAAATGACGTTTTAACTTCTAGTTTGACTTTCAAAAAAATAATTATATCAATAAATTGAGGGAATAACAGTAGCTTTTTGCGCGCGTGCGCGATTTAGAAAACATTTTAGCTTTTAGAAAGCTTTTAGAAAACATTATTTGAGGGAGACACTATACAGGACTCTATAATGCAAAAATTTGCGCACTTTGGCAAAAAAATAGGTGAATTCAGTGCACCAAAAAGGGTGTGTTTAGATGTTTAAACACAAAATACATAATAACAAAGTGTTAACCTAAACCGGACCTAGGGCTAGTAAGATCTAGTCTAGATTTGGCCATATTGCTCAAAATAGTCCAGTCAATGCATTTTATGTACAAAAAATAAATTGCACATAAAAAACTAGATAAGGAGAAAACTAGATACTCTAAAAAAACTAGATAATGAGATATTAGATTGAAAAAGTCATGTATTGAAGAAAAAAGTTTTGCGATTTCCTGTTTTTTTCTTTTTCTTTTCACTTTTCTCCACACAAATTTTGTGCCTTTACAAAACAAACATTGCTTTTTTTGGAGGCAATGGACAGACTTCGATTTTTCTTTTGCTATGGAAATGGGCAGGGAATTATTGGCTTTTCAACAGATATTGATATTATATTTTAAAAAAACAATAATGAAATGATTTTCTAGATTTACAAAATTTGGCGGAAAGGTGGCTCGGACTTGGGCCAAAAATTTTAACAGGCTCACCCGCTAACCACTTGACGATTTGGTGACAAGAAAGCGGCTAAAAATTAGCCCATAAATTTCAAAAGAGATTAAAAATTGTTAATACTTAAATTCAATATAAGAAATTGGATTGTTAAACGATTTAAGGCTAAAAAATTATAATATAGCAAAACGAAAAGAAATTATAATTAAAATATATAAATATAGCTATAAGATATAGCTAAAAGAATATAGTATTAAGAAATTTTGAAATAAAATGGATAAGATGAATAAGATTGAACCTTAAAATCCCCAAAAAAAACGTGAAGAAATTGATAGTTTTGTGATGAAATTTGAAAAATGAAAAGAAATTTTGTTTTTTGAGGTCTTTCTAGACAATGAGTCATTGAAAAGTGAAGAGAAAAAGAGAAAAAAAGAAAAATGAACAAAGAGAACAGATGTTTGTTCAAAAAACGAAACTCTTTCTAAACCCGAAAAAATGATGTGAATACTACTATTTCCATTTCCAAATTTAATAGCATTTCCAATAAGATTTCCAAATTTAATAGCATTTTTGCATATTGCATCATTTATTTCTTTACACTTTATGCTTTCGAGGTTCCATGTGTACTTGGTGCCCTTGCAAACGCGAGCTTTCTGGCACACTTGGTTTCTTATTTTCTTTAAGGAACGGAAGCGCAGTTCTTTCTTCTTTTAAAGAAGAAAGAACTGACTGCGCCAAAAGGGGTGCGTTTGCGTGGGCACAAAGTACATCATCAGAAACTTGTAATCGTTAGCTGTCTGGCACATTCGAAACTATTGCAATTATTGGTTCAATCACCCAATTCATTCTCTGGAATCATTTGAAGAGCTAGGGGTGAAAATATTAAGTCTGTAAAATTTAGGATAACTTGAAACATGTCTCTAGCAGTAAGAACTACTGAAAGCAGTAGCAAAACCACGGTAACACAACAATCAGCAGACTATTCTAATTTTAAGCTTCTAAAGATCATCAAAACCCTTGGCAAGCGCTCATTCTGTCATGCAGAATAAAATTGCGCGTCGAATGGTACCAAAATCAGCTCAAAATATGATATCCATGCAAAGTTATGAGGCAAACAGTTAAGTCCCGCTCATAATGGGTGGGGTTTCGCTTTTTAGCCAACAACTTTGCGTGGATATTACATTTTGAGTTGATTTTGGTATCATTCGACGCGCAATTTTATTCTGCATCGAATCTGATTCTGCATGATAGTCAAAATCGAAGGGTTGGTGCTGAGAAGGACACGAAAAACCTTAAATTGCCAACGGCAAAAAAGGACCGAGAGTTTTTGTTACAAGACACATTCTAATAACGAGAAACAACTGCATCGAGCTCCGAGAAGCTCTTCATTCATAAAATGTATCGATCGAACAATTATAGTCGTTTTTAGAACACAGAACACTCTTGAGAAAAGCTTTTATCCATTGTGACCACAAAATATTCAAGAAAACGTAAGGGGTTTCTCGGGAGGAGTTCATCGTTTTGCCAATGCTTGGAATCTGTTCATTAACGGCTATTTGGAATTTGGAAAGCTATTGGGCTATTGGGCTTTAGCTTTAGATCTTGTATATGTTACGTCCGAGCTAAACTCTTGCCCGGGCCACTTGGCGTGGCTGTATCTCCAAAACTAGTGAGCCGATTTTGATGATTTTGATTTCATTTCGATTTCATTTTGTAGAGTTTTGCAGATTTGGAGCAGAAAACAGCCAACAATTACGAAAAAACCGTAAGATTCTTAAATTGAAGTTACAGTTTAAAGAAAAAAAAGTTAATTTAGTAAAAAAAAAATATGGAATTAGTTCAGATTCGGAAATCCGAATTCACCTTTTAACACGTTGACGACATTGTCACCTGATGCTGTCTGACATATTCGTTCGCCTGGGACATTGTCACCTGGGACATTGTCACCTGGGACATTGTCAGGTGAGATCTTTTGTCGAAAAAAACAACGTTGTCCCATGCGATTGTTTGTGCAAAAACGCCATTGTCGTCAACGTGTTAAAATACAAAATCGAACCTTCCGATTTTCGTCATTGTTGGCTGTAATTGGCTGTTTTCTGCTGAAAATCATCAAAACTATTCAATGATCCAGATTCCACACTCTCTAATCCCAAGAAATCCTTCAATATGGCAAGACTTTTGCAGATATTCGATCAATAACAACAAAATAATAACAACGGTTAGTCTCTGGAGGAAAAAAAAAAGAAAAAAAGACAAATATGCACTAAAGTTAGTAAAAAAAGTGATAAAACTGACAAAAAAAAACACTCTAAAAGGACTATTTTATAAATGCAAATCAGCAGAAAATTCGACTTAAAATGCGTTTTTAAAAAAAATTTTTTTAAAAATTCAAATTTCAAGGCAATTTCTGAAAAAGTTAGGCACTTTTTTTTGTGAAAATTTCAGTGATTTTTGGAGATTTTTAGAGGTATTGGGTAAAGAAAATTTCTTAAGTGACTCGTTAAAAAAAGCGAAAAACGTCTTATCTTAAGTTTTAAAACTTAAAAACTTAAATGAATCTTAAATGAATCTTAAAAAACTTTGAACAAAATAGCTATGAGATCGAAAAAGTTTAAGAAAAAAAAAAAAAAAAGAAAATTCTCTACTAAGTACTTTCTCTAAATTGTATACAAAAATACAAATAAGTACAGGCTTTTTTAAAAGAATGAACAATGGAAATTCATTGGAAATCATTGGAATATCGGTGTGTGAATCGATGAGGCGTTCCATATCCTTTGCAACACTTCAGGCTCTTGTTTGAGCTGGAAATTTTTGGCTTTTTTTGGCTTTTTTGTTGGCTTAGCTAGTTTTTAACAAGCCAATAAGACGTCAGCCCCATTCAAAATGGGGCTGACGTTTCAGGATAATTTTCGAGTGCAAACACCAATCGGATATCGGCATTCCGAATATCTATTCAGTTTTTGCTCAAATTAAAATCCTGGCAAGAAAAATGTATTGAAGTTTCGACCATTTTTGAGCGCAGAAAGAGCAGCGGCATTTTCGCCCTCTAGCCAATAACACTACGCCACACGCGACGGAAACAAGAGCAGCGGTGGCCTAGTGGTTGGTGCGCCGGGTTGCAAGGACACCAGGACGGCGCTTTACGCGTAGGTTCGAGTCCCGCCACCGACAAACTCCTTTGTTGAAAACTTTTTTAGAAGCAGAAACAGATACCGTATTTACTCGAATAGAAGACCGGCCTCGATGATAAGACCGTCTCGAATAGAAGACGGGGTCTAGGGGATGATCGAAAAAATAGAAGACCGTCTCGAATATAAGATCGGTCTTATATTCGAGGTACCCTGTTTTCTATTCTGCGCGAAAGTGGACGTACTCAAATACGGGAAAAGAATAAGGGAATTTACCAATAAGGTAAAAATATTATATTGGTAAATACCATTTTTAAGTCTATTACAGTGCTGTTTACAGTACAGTTACAGTATTAAAAGCTATTTTCAATATTAACCAATAGCAGAACAGTCAACAAAAAGTTTGTCACCAAGAAATAAAGTCCAACTTTAAAAAGATCGCCAAATAAGTCTTTTCAAATGCTTTTTTTGACAGATTATTCATTTTTTCTAGTGTCGATAAGCACTGTAATAGCATTAAAAATGGTATATGTTGTATAAAAGTCAAAAAGTTTATCGGTGGCTGAACTCGAACCCGTTGCGGAAGAGGGTATTGGTTTTGCAGCCCGGCACACTAACCACTTGGTCGCTGCTGCTCTTTCGTGGCCCCCCTGGCCCCTTATTGGCCTTGAAAACGGCTCTTTCTTCGCTCGAAAATGGTCGAAACTTTAAATGCATTTTTCTCGTCAGGATTTTAATGTGGGCAATAACTGAATAGATCTTTTGAAATGCCGATATCCGATTGGTGTTTGCACTCCGAAAATTAGTTTTGCACTCTTTTTGAGCGATAAGTCTTCAAAAACGTAAATACCTTGGGCACATTTTGTAGCAGACTAAATAACGGCGGTAAAGAGGCCATAAGAGAATCCATTAGTAGGTCAAGAGTCCCGGAAACTGTTCCCGGCTCATCAGCACTGAAATAACGTTGTAAAAGTGATTTTTTTCAAGTCCTTAAAAGGCTTGGATGATCAGCTTTAGAGATACTAGAGAAGAAAAGTTAGGTAAAGATAGTGTTTGCTCGCTTTCTCACCGTGTCACCGCCGCTGATCGCATTGAGTGTGCCATGATTCGGAAAGAGGCGGCAATGTCATTGATGCCCGTTCTGGAAATGGGATTCCTTTCAAAAATCGATAATATTATTCTAAATTCTTATTTCTATTTTCTATTCTTCTATTTCTTTTCTACTCTTAAAAAGATTCTACCTAGGACCCACCGTAAATACTGTAATAGTACCGCACCCTCATAATGACGGTGCGGAGTGTTGCGTAGTCTAGCTTTGAACGAGTTTTTCTCGACACTGATTTATGCTACAATGTTCGTTTTGGTTTCAAAAAATAGCCCTGAATTTCAGCTATTTTCTGATACCAATAGTGTGCTACAATGCGAGTATAGTATAGTACCCTACCGCCCTCGTACAGTCGCGTAGTCGCAAAAGTTTTTTAGTATTTCATTTTTTTTCATTCATTTGTTTCTAAGCACCCGTACTTCCAAAAAATACGGTTTTGGTATCAAAAAATAGCCCTGAATTTCAGCTATTTTTTGAAACCAAAACGAACATTGTAGCATAAATCAGTGTCGAGAAAAACTCGCCCAAAGCTAGACTACGCAACACTCCGCACCGTCATTATGAGGGTGCGGTACTATTACAGTATTTACGGTAGATTCTATCTATGGTTCCAATACGGTTCCTATTCTGATCCAACAAATTTCCAATACGATTCCAATACGGTTCTTATACAGTATGACTCTTAATTCTCAAAAATGCAGTGTCAAAAATGACAGATTGCCGAAGAGAGCCTTTGGCTCATTCAAGAGCTTGTAAAATGAGTTCTATTGGGTTGTCCATTTATGAATGCGCGTTTTTTACTATTTTGTAAATTTCTCAAGATACCGAAATCAAGAAAAAGATATATATGAGTATTATTCGAAAGCTGAAGATCTCCTCTACATTTTGATATAAAAAGTTTTTGAATTTGTTCAGCTTTTGGGCAAATTGACTGCACAGAAGAAGAGGTGGCCAAAAAATGGAAGGGTGCTTTTGGATCAAGTTTTGGCTCCGCTTAAATTGAGTTAACCGTTTGATGTTTGGCCAATAGATATATCAATACAACTTTTTTTAAAATATAACAATTTCAGAGCATCTTTACTTTTCTTTTCTTTTCTGGGCGGTTATTTTACACCATAAAACTTGAGGAAGAGCTAAGCTGGAATGGGGTTTTTTTTCGAAAACCACCTCTCCTTTTGTGCAGTCAATTTCCCAAAAAGTTGAATGAATTCAAAAACTTTTTTATTCCAAAATGTAGAGGAGATCTTCAGCTTTCGAATGATATATAACACTCGTCTACATCTGTTCGATATCTTGAGAGATTTACAAAATAGTGAAAACGCGCATTCATCACTGAACAACCCAATATAAATCCAATCGAGAAGTTCTTTATAGAAAAATGATGCCAAGAACAACGGCTTTATTTTTCCATCTAACATTTGGCACTTTGGTCAATCGTTGACCAGGAAATTTTCCAAAAAAGGTGTCTTCATCATTCGCGATCTGTCGACTAACACTGTTCTACTGACCGAAACTCCCTTGTCGGACTGACATCAACCCTTCTTTTCTCTCCAGTCCACCAACGGGATCTCCGCTCCATCGCTGACGCATGAAAACTCATTTGACGATCGGTTAGCGGTGATGGCGCTTAAAGTTTATTGTTGGCAAAGGAAATTTATTTGCTGATCTACTTTGTGCTCAAAACTGTAAACACAAGTTTCCTGGGTGCACCGAAATCTTCATTTTTCTCAAAGCGACGGTTTGATGGCGATGAGAAAAATGAATAATGCGCTAGAAAGTGCGCTAGAAAGAGCGCTAGAAAGAGCGCTAGAAAGTGCGCTAGAAAGAGCGCTAGAAAGAGCGCTAGAAAGTGCGCTAGAAAGTGCGCTAGAAAGAGCGCCAGAAAGAGCGCTAGAAAGAGTGCGTTTCCGCTTAAACACAAACAACATCAAACCTAGCTTCAACTTCAAAGTTCTACAACAAAACCTACGTTCTCTTTTCGTCGAAAACCCTTCGAAATCCAAATCCCTTCTTCTCGTGTATTTTCTTTTGATTCTCTCAGCTTCACCGCCAATTTTGAACTAAAAATGTTCAGAATTTTATTGCATTTCTTTTTTCCCTACCACCATTCCTCTTTTCATCGAGTTTTTTAGGCGAATTTTAAGCCCAAAATCCTTTTTCGCTTTACCCAGGCTTTTATATGGCTGAAAAGAAAAGATTACTTTTGTTGGTGAGTCGGAAATCTTTCCACTAACCGATCCATTCTCAGCGATTGGCGGTTCCTCGCTTTTGTAGTGCGCAGTGGTGTCTTTATCGTCTAGAAAATGTTTTTATTGTTTTACTAAAACGTGTCCTTTTCCTCTTTCTACCGTCATCTTGACTCTATTTTCTAAATCTTGGTGGATAGGATGGATGTGGATAGGATTTTACTAGACAAATTCTCCTCCTTTACTTATTCTGATAGATTGCAACTCTCCTCTGTCTTGTCTTGTCTTGAAATGTCTTGAATGTCTTGAAATGTTACACCAACGCCGCCTTATCATCGATTTAGTGGAATGCTTTAAAATTGTTAAAGGCATTCATCCCGACCCCTCTTTTTTCTGGTCTCTTTGAATTCGGCTCTCTACGGGGGGCCTTTTCCAGGGCCTCCAGGGTCTCCAGGGCCTCCAGGGTCTCCAGGGCCTCCAGGGTCTCCAGGGCCTCCAGGGTCCCCAGGGCCTCCAGGGTCTCCAGGGCCTCCAGGGCCCAGGGCCCCAGGGCCCAGGGCCCCAGGGTCTCCAGGGCCTCCAGGGTCTCCAGGGCCTCCAGGGCCTCCAGGGCCTCCAGGGCCTCCAGGGCCACCAGGGCCTCCAGGGCCACCAGGGCCTCCAGAAGGGGGCCTTTTCTCATACGCCAACCTTCCGTTTCCTCTAAAACCCCCACACAGTTTCTTTTTTAATCGAGTTATTAAATTCTGGAACATTTTACCCCCTCATGTTCGTGATATTTCCACCTTGGCCTTCGTGATATTTCCACCATCCACCTTGGCTAGATTTAAAGCCGCAATTTCGGCAATTGATTTGACTGCTCTGTGATTCTTTCTTAAGGTATCTATTTATCTTTTGGGTGTGTTTTGAGTGGTGTCCCGGGTAATTATTGTGATTTTCTTTTGTCGCTATTCAACTGAATAAAGCATATATATGTTGTGTCCGATTTAGGTTTCCGTCCGATTTAGATTCAATCTAAATCTTATATAGATTGAACGACGTCCGATTTGATTACGTCTATATCGGAGCGATTTAGATTCAATACTAAATCTTATATGGATTGAACAATAATATAAACATGCTTAATATATGTTCTTAAGCGTTTTCTGTAGTTTTCTGCATTTTTCAAAGGTCTTTTATTGATTACAGTCTATATCGGACGTCCGATACAGATCGAACAATAATAAACGTGCTAAATATATGTTCTTACGCTTAAGAAAATATCATTAAAAGCGCAGAAAATTTTAAAATAACGTTCAGGACATATATTAAGCACTTTATGATTGTTCGATCTAAATCGGACGTCCGATATAGACTGTAATCTAAATCGGACGTCCGCGATAAGTTCAATCTAAATCGGACGTCCGATTTAGATTGAATCTAAATCGGACGGAAATCTAAATCGGACACGACATATATAAGGCGAAAAATTGAAGCTTTACCTAAAATCCTTCGTTTCCCCGTGACTTCAGGAACGATTTCATGCGCTCGCACCCATCCATACCATTTTCGACATTTCTTATCCACGCATCGCCATCTAGAATTTGTTAAGTGTTAAAAATCGAACATTTTGGATAGATATATAATTTGAATCGTAGATCGTAGCTCTAAGCTCTCTACTTTTTACGAATAACCCTTGGAGTTGTGAAATAACGAAGGACGGGTCTTACGCTAGCTTTTCTATGCTTAAAAAAAGGTTTTCTAATTCGTAACAGAGTATCTTTTAGATCTTTTAGATCTTTTAGATAGAATATAGATTTTACCGTACTATTTTCGAGAATTTTCGATAATTTTCGATAATTTCTAGCCATTCGCCTCACCTGTGCTTACTTCCACCGCACATTTGTGGCCGCACTTGTCCTTTACAGAAAATGCACTCGCGCGCTCCACTCGCACCAATCGGCGGCGTTTTCTCGACTTTGCTAGAAAAAAATGACTTTATTTTGAACAATTATGATTTGTGGATAGGATTTTTACTAGACCGGGGAATTTTCGGGACTATAACAAAACAGCGCCACGTAAAAAACGTTCAAAACAGCGCCGTCAAAGGATCCTTAGCTAGATTTCTTCGAAAAACGTTGAATTTGCCTTGATTTGATAGAATTTGATTCCAAGTCGAATGAAAATAAATTCAACATTTTTCAAAAAAACCCGGCTAAGATACGAGCAAATACAGAGATTGCCAATGGCAAACGGATCGAAAAATGGGCGGAGTCTGTCTGGCCGGCTAAAGTTGCCTTTGAGCCAACCCTGAGGATATTTTATCGTACTTGTTTACTTATTATACTTGTTTTAAAACCAATTTTAAAGTTTACTAATTAAAATTGAAGTCTTACTATGTTTTGGGCTTGGCTGGTGATGGTTTCTCTTCTTTTGTATGCTTTGGGGGCCGGCCTCGGGGACGTCCGGGTGGACTCGCCGCCGGGCTCATCCTCTAAATATATTTTCTAGAAATCTACAAGTGATATGTTAATAATATAGTAGTTTATCTTTTCTTCTCGTTTATCTTCTCGTACCTGAATCTTTCTCTCGGTGTCTTTCTTCTTTTTCCGATCGTCGATCTCGTGTTTTGAGCGCGTTTGATGCGGGAAATAGTCTCGATCAGCGCTTTTGATTGGTGAACGCTAAAAACTCTAAGATTACTGTGCTTTGAAAGAATACAATAGTTTTACTGGTACTTTACTTCAATCGCTTAAGAATTTTAGCCCTAAAGCCTTTGAAAATGACAATGCCTCAGCGCAAGTAAGCTAAGTGCTAATAAAAAATCGGCTTTTTTTGCCACTCTCAAAAAAACGCCCAAATCTTGACATCGAGTACGTTTATTTCTGCGCGCTTAGGTATCAAATTAAAGTAGAGAAGATGGGTGATTTTTTGAGATATAACACATATTCTTAGCATTAACAAGTGCTTAGAACAAAATGATTGAAAATTGATGAAAATTGATGAAAAATTGGCTTTTTTTGCCACTCTCAAAAAAAACGCCCAAATCTTGACATCAGTAAGTTTGTTTCTCCACGTTTAAGTATCAAATTAAAGTAGAGAAAATGGGTGATTTTTTGAGATATAACACAAACTTTTAGCATAAACCAGCACTTAGAAAAAGATGATTGAAAAATGGTGAAAAATGAGCTTTTTGCCACTTTTCAATCGTCTTTTTCTAAGTGCTGGTTAATGCTAAAAGTTTGTGTTATATATGAAAAAATCATCCATTCTCTCTACTTTAATTTGATACCTAAGCGCGCAGAAACAAACGTACTCGTGTCGAGATATGAGCAAAAGAATTGGCGGCGAGTGGAGGCGAACCCGCGACCCTCTCTTCTGTTCTTCAGTTCGTTTGAAAGACGCGTTAACCACTCGGCCACTCGATGGCGCGGTGCGAGCGCACTTGTCTCTAGCGCACACAACCCGGGTTCGACTCCCGACTGCGTCGGTACTTTTGGTTTTTTAAAAATTTTAAAACATTTTGCACCACTACATGAAATTTTAAGCCAAACTAACTATAAATCATTTGAAACGGTCCTCTGGAGGCTGAGGAATAGCGCGCATAAGCAGACAGACAGACAGACATTATATATAGTAGATCTTATCTCACGAACATCTCTCTTCGGTAGATGAGCGATCGATGATTTGTCGGGCGATGGCGGAAGGGTGTCGTCCAAATTCTCAAGCGTCAGCGCCTCTTGTTTTCGACTCTGTGAAAGTCCGGTATTTGATTGTAGATAAAAGATATTCAGCTATCTCTGAATAATTCTACCTTTAACTTTTTCGTTGTCGATTTGTACAAATTGACGCTTTTCTCCAAATGATCGTCACCAGATCGAGTGCTGTGTGGGGACATGATACCAGCGGTGGCTCTGAAGAATTTGCATTTATAGATTATGAATAGATCTGCAAATTTAATGTAGAATATTGGCTAAGGCTAATGTAGAATATTGGCTAAATTCTAAAATGCGGATCCCAAAAAAAAGTGACCATGACGAAATTTAGGAAAATCGAAAAGAGGGGAATTCAGTTTGAGGTTTTGTTAGATCTGATATGTAAAAATGATCTGCTTTTTAAATTATCTATAGAATTATCTAATCTTTCTATTTCTATTTATAACCATCTTCCACCTCAACTCCTCATCGTCGAAGCGAGAGTTTTGCGGCCGAGCGGCGCTTCCATTGATCTCGCTCTCCACCGCCGTGTTCACCCCATTCCACTTGAGGCAAGGTTTGTTTGTGCATCTAAAGGTTATTGCTATTCTATTAGATTCTAATTCTATTCTATCATCACTCTGACGAACCTCCATTTCACTCCGTACAGCTGACACTCGCTGTTGCACTCAAAACACCGCTTCTGTGGCGTCGGATGCTCAAGGGTGCCTGATTGCTCCTGAAAAGCATGGAGATTGGATACTTATGCTTATTTTCATGACTATTTTCATGGCTATGTTCTAAGCTTTTCCACCCGAGCCTTATTAGGACCTTGACAAGCCAGGTGACAAGCCAGAGCTGGGTCCTAGGGTCGTAAGTTACCCCAGGCAAAGCCCAATCAGAAACCAGGCTCAAGTATGAGCTCTTTGGCTTGAGGGTGGATTAAATGGTAAAGGTAAAGCTGTGGTATCTATGGTAAAGCTAGGCTGTCTACAGAAAAGACAAGTCAGACCAGTAAGGACGGATCAAACAAGATCTGGTGCTAATTGCAAACCAGCAGGAGGCTACAGGGTGGCGCAGGGTTATAACGAGATGTAAAATCTGCGAATCGATTGGAGATATTCATTTTATTGAGTCTACCAATTAGAATTCCGATTTATTGAGTTGAAAGTTTATGAGTGGCCCAGGATCTGATTTTTGATCCGACTTTGGTTATTTTGCTGGCTTCTGGTCTGACTTTGACTTAATCTTAAACATTTCCCATTTCCCAAAGCTCATTTCCCATTGCTTCCCATTCCTTACATCATCACTTTCTCCCGAAGACATTGTATTGAGAACATTTAGGAAATCTTCTGGTGTAAATTTCGAATTCGGGTCGAGTAGATCCTCCAAAATCTCGGACATTCCCGAAATGGTTCGGGTTCTGAAAAGTTGTTGGATTAATATGGTTTAATATGGTTTAATATGGTTTAATATCTTTTAATAGCGTTTAATATCTTTTAATATCGTTTAATATCGTTTAATATCTTTAAATATCGTTTAATATCGTTTAATATCGTTTAATATCGTTTAATATTGTTTAATATCGTTTAATATTGTTTAATATCGTTTAATATTGTTTAATATCGTTTAATATTGTTTAATATCGTTTAATATCTTTAAATATCGTTTAATATCGTTTAATATCGTTTAATATCGTTTAATATTGTTTAATATCGTTTAATATCTTTAAATATCTTTTAAGATCTTTAAATATCTTTTAATATAGTTTAATATCGTTTAATATCATTTAAGATCGTTTAAGATCGTTTAAGATCGTTGAATATCGTTTAATATCTTTTAAGATCTTTTAAAATCGTTTAATATCTTTTAATATCGTTTAATATCGTTTAATAGCGTTTAATATTGTTTAATATCGTTTAAGATCGTTTAACAGCGTTTAATATTGTTTAATAATGTTTAATATCGTTTAATATCTTTAAATATCGTTTAATATCTTTTAATATCTTTTAATATCGTTTAAAATCGTTTAAAATCGTTTAATATCTTTTAATAGCGTTTAATGTCGTTTAATATTGTTTAATATTGTTTAATATCTTTTAATATCTTTTAATATCTTTATATAATATCTTTAATTAATCCTAAATAGCGTATTTCTTCGAATAGAAGACCGGGTAAAGAGTATCATCGCGTACTCCTGCGTAGCAGCCCTTTTTAAAATTTCTTTTCTGCATAAAAGCTTTCAATCAAGTGCTATAGAGCTGAAAAATGGCTCAAAAATCTGTTGGCTCATGTGGTATTTTTGAGTCATTTTCCAGCTCTATAGCACTTGATTGAAAGCTTTTATGCAGAAAAGAAATTTTCAAAAGGGCTGCTACGCAGGAGTACGCGATGATACTCTTTACCCGGTCTTCTATTCGAAGAAATACGGTAGATGTTCCTATCTTTCACAATATTCCTATCTTTCACAATACAATCACAACACTTTTACCTCGGCGCTGGTTGGCCATTTCTAGAAAAGGAATAGTTTTTAATAAATAAAAGATAATAATAAATAAAAAGATAATAATAAATAAAAAGATAATAATAAATAAAAGATAATAAAATTCTAAGCTAGTAGTTTCCAAAAAAGGACCTGTTTCTCTCACTCTGCGATCCGCCACTCCGGTGCCTCGCTCGATTAAAATATTCGTGGAAAATGCTTGATGAGGCTCGGGATCTAGATAAAAGAGTCAGTTTTTAGATAATTATATACTAAAATGCTCTGTTACGTCAAAACTCTGTATACAACACGACAATACTACAATAAGCTTCACTTTAGCATACTGCTAGTGATAGCATACTGTCTGCCGAGTGCAGAGACTTTTGTGAAGCTATTGAGTAGCTATGAAGCTATGAAGCTTTTGTGAAGCTTCAAGTTTCAAGTTTCAGGCCTGCCCTAGCCTTTTCTGACCCGGGAATTTCAAAAAAACAAGCCTGCTTTCAGCCATTTAGCTTCAAAATCAATCATTCAACTTCCAAATCAATCACTCAGCTCACCTGCCCGATTTCCGACTCGCTGCATCGCCCATAATCGAATTCAACTGAATGTCCCCGTCGAGAATTGGTAACTCTGATTGAAAAGGCTAAAATGATAAAGAGATTAGAAGTAAATAGGAAACTTTGATTAGCTTCTCTAAGCTTCTCTAATTAGCTTCTCTAAGCAACCTTTTCTAAACACTTAATTGAATATCTAAACAAAAAGATATCTATTCAACAAACCGCTAGAAAATTATCGAAAAGCTCTTTCTCGCAGATGCCCGAAATGCCTGAGATGAGTCGGTGATGTTTGCTGCCATTTGAGCTCTCACTTCCCGGTTTTCTTCTCTAAATCACAAGAATTCATATCAATTTATATTCAGTATTGTATTTGATAGCTTAAAACCAAGTTAACAACTTACAGCTTACAACTTTTTGATCAAGTTGATCAGAAAGTCTTGTCCGCTTTTCTTATAGTTATTTTTTGAAATAAAGGTTAGAATCTGGATTTCGGACCTGGGTCTGGACCTGGCTTGACCTTGGCTTTGGTTTTGAAATATTGTTATGTCTATGCTATGCCTATTGTTATGCTATGCCTATTGCTATGCTATGCCTATGCTATGCCTATTGTTATGCTATGCCTATGCCTATGCTATGCCTATGCTATGCCTATGCTATGCCTATGCTATGCCTATGCTATGCCTATGCTATGCCTATGCTATGCCTATGCTATGCCTATGCTATGCCTATGCTATGCCTATGCTATGCCTATGCTATGCCTATGCTATGCCTATGCTATGCCTATGCTATGCCTATGCTATGCCTATGCTATGCCTATGCTATGCCTATGCTATGCCTATGCTATGCCTATGCTATGCCTATTGTTATGCATGCCTGCCATGCTATGCCCATGCATGCCTATGCTATGCCCATGCTATGCCCATGCTATGCCATGCTATGCCCATGCTATGCCCATGCTATGCCCATGCTATGCCTATGCTATGCCTATGCTATGCCCATGCTATGCCTATGCTATGCCCATGCTATGCCCATGCTATGCCCATGCTATGCCCATATGCCCATGCTATGCCTATGCTATGCCTATGCTATGCCTATGCTATGCCTATGCTATGCCTATGCTATGCCTATGCTATGCCTATTGTTATGATATGCCTATTGCTATGCCATGCCTATGCCTATGCTATGTCTATACCTATGCTATGCCTATGCTATGCCTATTGTTATGCTATGCCTATGCCTATGCTATGCCTATTGCTATGCTATGCCTATTGTTATGCTATGCCTATGCCTATGCTATGCCTATAGCTATGCTATGCCTATTGCTATGCTATGCCTATTGCATGCTATGCCTATTGCTATGTTATGCCTATGCTATGCTATGGCTATAGCTATGCTATGCCTATTGCTATGCTTTACCTGGTAGATAGAAAAGATACAGTCTATCAAGCAAAATTCACTAATGTACTGGATTAGGCAAACAGTTTAAATCTTAGAAATTGATTGGTTTTAAGTTTTCCTGTTTCCTCTTACCTTAGCCGCATCTTTCAACTGTTTCAGCATCGAGGCCACACTCGACGCACGCGAACGGGATCTAAAATTTAGTCATAAGAAATAGCTAGACTTCTACAATCCAATGAATCTCTTCAAATTGATATTGATAAATAGATATTGATAAATTAATACTCACTTATTGCTTCCACTTGTCCCATCACTGAGTGTTCTTTTCCTTTCAAAGAGATACACATCTTTGTAGACTTTTGAAGAACTCAGACGACTTCGACCACCTAAAATTGCTTGTATCTAAGTGCATAAACACCGGCTTCTGGCACACTGAACGAGAATTAGGAGTGTGCTAGGGAGTAAGCGTTTATCAAACCACACAAAGCCCACCCTGGACTGCTTTGTTTGTTTAAACTCACCAGGAATGTAGTGTGCTGTAGATGGAAGCTCTCCTAAAGCAAATTTCATTAGATTGTTCGCTTTTTTATTGTATTTATTGGAGACTGTATCCACTGTACTGCATTTTTTCTGAAAACAAACAATCAAACCTTCTCTCGACGTTGAAGCCATCGAATCCCCCAATACCGGAAATCCGGCCTCCATTCGAACCTCATCGACAGCTTTTTTGAAGTCCTAAATAGGTTGATAAGTTAGAATTTGCATTTATTCGCTATTCTAGTATTCAAACCTTATGCTGTTTCCTTGGCACCTCGAACTGACTTCTATACTCTTTATAATCGAACATGTCCGATGTTTTCATGAATGCTGTGTCTCCTGTCCCAAAGAACATCACTTTCACCCGACCGGGAATCACATCGGACGAGTCAGAGCCAAGTACCTGAATAGATTTATTTATTGAAAGAGTAAAATATAGTCCTTTATTAAAAGCAAACAATTTTACACAAGTTAAGGGTTGTGCTAGGCTGGCTATTTTATAGTACTATGCTAGGCTGGCTATTTTATAGTACTATGCATGTTAAGATCAAATTTATCGACCGCTTGCTTGCTCTTTTTAGAGTAGGCAAAGCCAGAGCCAGAGCCAGCCAGATCTAGCTTTATTGTCTTGCTTGTTCTTTGGATCCTTGAATCAAACAGAGCAAATAAAACATTGTTATAAGAAAAGAAATGTTATAAGATGTTATATAAACATATTATATTATATAATAAATGTTATATAATATAATAAATGTTATAAAGTGTGTGTTTCATTAGTGATAACTCGCGTGAAATCCTTTAAGATCTTTAGCGCTTTACTATCCTTCAATGCTGCATTTTTGTCTTGCCTACAATACAGTAAGATCTTTTAATGTATTTTATTAACAGTAATCTGTATCCTGTCTGTATTTTACTAGAGTAAGATTTCAGATTTCAAGACAGATTTCAAGTTTGAATGCCTTTCAAACTTTAGATGCTCAAGATGCTGAAAAGCTAAAGCTACTTTCTTTATTTCCTACTTATTTACTTTCTTTCCTACTTACTTTCTTTCTTCTTCTTCTACATCTAATAATAAAAAATAAAGAAATTGGCAAGATAAACTAGATTTCGGGAGAGGGAATTGAACCCTCGAGCTTTTGCTTTCAAGGCTTTTGCTTTCAAGGCTTTTGCTTTCAAAGCTTTTGCTTTCAAGGCTTTTGCTTTCAAAGCTTTTGCTTTCAAAGCTTTTGCTTTCAAAGCTTTTGCTTTCAAGGCTTTTGCTTTCAAGGCTTTTGCTTTCAAGGCTTTTGCTTTCAATGCTTTTGCTTTTACTTTCTGCTCTAACCACTGAGCTATCCGGTACCTCAACTTGCCAAAAGAAAAAGGGAAAGACAAGGAAAAAGAAGAAAGAAAGTAAGAAAGAAAGAAAGAAAGAAAGAAAGCATTCTCTTTCATAACTCACTCTAGCCGGCCATGGCGGGAATCCTTTCATCTTTGCCCATATCAAATCACCCTCTTTAAACTCCTTCGACGAGGCCATCGTCACGATCGCCTCCAGGTCCAACTAAAAACGAATTTGATTGGATAAATGTTGTAATTAGATTTTGAATTTGACTACAATCTATAGAAAAACATTGACTGGTAAACACGCGACAAAAGAAGCCCTACAAGACGCTCCTATTGTCGCAAAAGCGACAAAATCTCTGTTCTTTGTATCACCTCGTTCTTTAGCTCACTAATGGCATAATCGGTTTTTGCATAAATTTAAATAAGGTAATTTTTTGGATTATTTAGAATTATTTAGATTTATCTTTTCTTTTAAATGAATTCTTTAGATTATTAAGTTTTTTTGAAATAAAGGACTTGTTAATCAAAATTTGGTAGTGAAGCTATGGAATAGAAAATTTGCAATAGATTATTCTAGATACTAAAAATTCAAAATTTTCAAAATCAATCCCAATTTCTGGTACAAGAAGTCTTATTCTTTGCTATTCTTTCATCCAAGAATCTAAAGTTTAAGAGATTTTAGGTCTTAAACATTATCTTAAAATGTATTGGGTTGATGGAGTCCTTTCCGATGAAAGTCCTTTCCGATTTTTTGGGAGAGTACCTTAAATTTGTCCAATTTTGACGTTTTATACCTCATCCTAAAGCTGAATTCAAGACGGATCGATTGGTAAAAACCGTTTTGAGATATCTTTTTTCTAAAAGTTTTTACAGCTATTTTAGTAAAGGGCGGCAGAGCCAAAAAATGGCTGTTTTCACGTTTCGTTAGTTTTCCGTGCAGAAACCTAGGCTAAAAACATGTGTTTCGTGATCAGCGTCAAAAATAACCCCTAGATACGCATTTTCAGAATCTTAGCAAAGAATTTTTGCAAAAATATTGTCACCGGTGGAAGTCGAACCAGCGACCCTCAGATCAATAGCCTTTCCGGCGCTATTCGCGATTTTCCTTCGTTTTTTTGTTTTTTTTTGCAAAAAAAAAAAAATCAATCAATTTCAGATGTTGTCGGAATTCTTTTTCAGGACATTTCCGTCTCAACAAAGTTCGAATCGGATATGGTGGCACATCAGCGAGTCCCCTGTTTTTGTATGCATTCAACCGAAAACTCAATGCCGCACAGGCTCATCGAAAGATTACTGACGTTTATGGACCCGATTTCGTGACCGAACGAACTATCCGGAATTGGTTTCAACGATTTCGTGAAGGAAATTTCTCACTTCTCGATAGTGCAAGAACAGAAAGAAATAGCGCCGGAAAGGCTATTGATCTGAGGGTCGCTGGTTCGACTTCCACCGGTGACAATATTTGTTCAAAAATTCTTTGCTAAGATTCTGAAAATGCGTATCTAGGGGTTATTTTTGACGCTGATCACGAAACACATGTTTTTAGCCTAGGTTTCTGCACGGAAAACTAACGAAACGTGAAAACAGCCATTTTTTGGCTCTGCCGCCCTTTACTAAAATAGCTGTAAAAACTTTTAGAAAAAAGATATCTCAAAACGGTTTTTACCAATCGATCCGTCTTGAATTTAGCTTTAGGATGAGCTATAAAACGTCAAAATTGGACAAATTTAAGGTACTCTCCCAAAAATCGGAAACGACTTTCATCGGAAAGGACTCCATCAACCCAATACATTTTAAGATAATGTTTAAGACCTAAAATCTCTTAAACTTTAGATTCTTGGATGAAAGAATAGCAAAGAATAAGACTTCTTGTACCAGAAATTTCCCATTAGCAAGTTAACTTTGAACTTAAATATCTTGGTGTTGGGTTGTCCAATTTAAATGTTCTTGGTATCATTGGATACGTCAAGTCTTTCTCTATTGATTGGTACAAAAACTAAGGGAAAAGGGCCGAAGCGCCGTTTGATCCGCGCCCCGCCGCTTTTGCCATTAGCAAGTTAACTTTGAACTTAAATATCTTCGTGTTGGGCTGTCCAATTTCAATGTTCTTGGTATCATTGGATACGTCAAGTCTTTCTCTATTGATTGGTACAAAAACTATTTAAATTGGACAGCCTAATACCAAGATATTGGAGTTCAAAGCTAGATTGCCAATGGGAAAAGGGGCGCGATCCCAAAATCCTAAAAAGGAACTGCTCCAAAATCAATTGCAAAACGATTCAATTGACTATTTTAACATTCGTAAAAACATTTTGACAAAGTAAACTCTTGCGCAAATGAATTTTTGTCTTTTTTCTTTGAATTTGAGCTTGCTCTGAAGTAAAAGCTTTGTCGGTGATGAAATTTGATGAAAAAGTTCAGAAGTTCCCAAAGATATAGACAATTTTTGATAGGATATATAGTAATCCGACGATATCACTCATTTTATTCGCTTTATACAGATCAAAATCCACCAATTTTTACCTCATCAACGAAACCCTCATCGAGTGGGGTATCGGGGAATTTCTCGAAATCAAAATTGAGATCCTCGTCGTCCAGACTCTCATTTAGCCAATCGATCAATTCCATATTAGAGAGTAATAGGCAAATAGGCAAAGGCAAATAGGCAAAGGCAGATAACTAAAAGAAATATGTACAGATTACCAATAGAATAGTCATTTGAGAGATTGATTTGTAGAGTTTAGGTTTTCAAACATCTGCAAGAAAGCCATTGGCATCGGCATTCAAATTGGGAATTGCTCTCAATTCTAGATCTGTTGATTCAGTTTTTAACTAGAGTAATTAGTACTTTGTGCTCAAGCAAACGAACGCCTTCTGGCATACTCCGGGAAATTCAGTGCACCAGATAGTAAGCGTTTATCAGGATTCCCGCTTTATCAGGGATTATCAGGGCACAAAGTACGTTCAACAGACTGGATTCCCGTTTATTCTTTGTTGTTCTTTTGTTTGTTCTCTGTTCTTTTGATTGTTCATAATATTAATCTGAAACTTCCAGCCTATCGATTTGCCTTAGTATCGTTATCTAACGCTTCAATTGATACCGTATAACAAAATCATTGCTAAGCTGCTAAGCAAGTTAGATAAAGATGAGTCATTGTCATTGCATTACATGAATCATTACAGAATCATTGCTAGAAAATGCCATAGTTTTTTTTTGGTACGGTAGTTTTAGGCTGGAAGCATTTCGTTGTCATAGCTCCGCTCAGAAACGCATGCCTTCTGGCACACTCAACTTAGAATACCTTAGGCCTACTGTAGTAACAAGTAACTCCAAAGTCTCTACAGTAACTTCAAGCTAAAGTACGGTATTAACTATATTACTACTTAACTATATTACTTAAGCGGAAACCTTTTAGAAATCTTGTGTACGGTGGTTCTCCGAGTACTGTATTTGTACCCTAATCGCGCTTTTTAAAAGTACGGTATAGTTGGGCGCGGTTTTCCCGTTTGTGTGGGTCCCTGGGCTCGGGTTTAGAGGTTCCACTGCCGCAGACATCTCTTTATTCATGGGCACAAAACTCTCTTCACGTATTCACAGCTCGTGGCTATTTACATTTCCAATTGTACCAATTGCATATGATTTTCTTGAAATTATTCATAGAAACTTTATCGGGACGAGTAAACGAAGGGAAAATTAACAGAACACTAAAATTAGATAAAGTAGCGGACAAAGACTTAACATAATTTAGTTTTTTTATAATAAAAGCCGCTGTTTATGCAATATTTACTTAAAACTTTAAAATATAATAATAAAGCCTGACGTTTTAACAAAAACAATTCGTATTTAGCCAAACGACATCTTTTTTGGAAAATTTCCTGGTCAACGATTGACCAATGTGCCAAATGTTAGATAGAAAAATAAAGCCTTTCTTCTTGGCATCATTTTTCTATAAAGAACTTCTCGATTAGGTTTATACAACTCATTTTACAAGCTCTTGAATGAGCTAAAGGCTCTCTTCGGCAATCTGCCATTTTTGAGAATTAAGAGTCATACTGTATAAGAACCGTATTGGAATCGTATTGGATCAGAATAGGAACCGTATTGGAACCATAGGTAGAATCTACCGTAAATACTGTAATAGTACCGCACCCCCATAATGACGGTGCGGAGTGTTGCGTAGTCTAGCTTTGAACGAGTTTTTCTCGACACTGATTTATGCTACAATGTTCGTTTTGGTTTCAAAAAATAGCCCTGAATTTCAGCTATTTTTTGATACCAAAGACGCATTTTTTGAAAGTACGGGCGCTTTGAAAAACAATGAAATACTAAAAAACTTTTGCGACTACGCGACTGTACGAGGGGGATGGGGTACTATTACAGTATTTAGGGTACCATATTTTTAAATAACATATTAACTAAAGATAGTAACAAATGTTTTTCAAATCAAACACAACAAAATTCGTTTTTAGCAATTAATACTTTGTAGAAAAACCATTCGATGCGATGACAGCATCACATCTGCGAGACATTGACTCGATCAGTTCATTGTCTGTGTCTTTTTTGGAATTTTTGACCACTTCTTGGCTAAGAGATCAAAGCTAAGAGATTATCCTAAGCCTTTTGAGTTTTAATCTCTTTGCACATTCTTCCCAGCGTTTCCCACAAATGCTCAATGGGATTCAGGTCGGGGCTTTGGCTTGCCCACTCCATAACGGCAAAGTTTTGTTGAGATAGCCATTTCTGAACGAGTCGTGCCTTGTGTTTGGGATCATTATCATGCTGAAAAGTGAAATTTGGTAGTTTGAAAAGCATAGTTTGAACTGCATTTGGAAGCTTATGGTTTGTCAAAATGTCCAAGTAAACTATTTGATCCATAATCCCATTGATTCGCTTGAGTGGCCGCTGAGTTTGCTTGAGTTCCATAAGAAGAGAAGCCACTCCATACGAGAACGTTTCCGCCGCCATGTTTGACTGGAGAATGTAGTTTTTATTGAATGGTTAACTGGACGTCGAATATACTGGATTCCGAACTAAATATCTGAACCAAATAGAGAAAACTTGCTTTCATCAGTAAACAAACAATCTTTCCATTGCTGAAGAGTCCACCCTTGATACTCCTTAGCAAACTTCACGCGGGCTTTCCGATTCTTAGCTTAAATCAACGGTTTCTTGGCAGGGCGTCTCCAGAACAGTCCTTTAGCATTTAGACGACGTTGCACTGTTCACGGACTAATCTTATCTTTCAAAGAAGCTGGCAAATCTTTGTAGATCTCAGTTGCAGGCTTCTGAGGATTGCTTTTCTATAAGGTTTGAATCCTGTTATCGTCTTGAGTAGTTGTTTTCCGTGGAACGCCGACATTCTTTTTGCAAAAAAGGAAACAAGATTGCAGATCTTGTTTCCTTTTTGTCTTAAAAAGCTTCGAAATTCTCGAAATAGTCGACTGGTTCACTCTCAGAATGGTAGCAATTCGATCCTGTCGCTCACCGGCTTGATAAAGAGCCACAATCGTATCCCGAATGGTAGGCTGGAGTTGTTTCTTGCGGCCCACCGTTCACCAAAATTAATAACATACTAAATTCCAATCTTGTTGTAGTTTAATTGTAAGAATTGTAAGAAAAAAAAGCAGAAAATTAATCAAAATTACTGCGGAATCCACGATATGCTGTCTTTGTCGCGCCAGTATTGTATAAAAAGCTTCAAAAAAATTCTCTGAAAGTCTATTTGGCTTAATGCCAATTGTTTTTGTTAAAACGTCAGGCTTTATTATTATATTTTAAAGTTTTAGGTAAATATTGCACAAACAGCGGTTTTTATTACAAAAAAACTAAATTAAATTATGTTAAGTCTTTGTCCGCTACTTTATCTAATTTTAGTGTTCTGTTAACTTTCCCTCGTCCCGATAAAGTTTCTACGAATAATTTCAATGAATGGGAAGATTACTGGGAAGTCGCGACTCTCATGGAAAAAATGAAAAGGAAACAAAATGAAATGAACAAAATGAAATGACAAAATGAAACGGACGAAGTGTACGGTAGCCCGGGTGTAGTATAGAATCTTACTTTTTTTTCTTAACGATTAGGTTATAAACTAAATAAGCGGACTTTTTGGAAAAAATGGATTTTAAAAATGATGGCTGACCCAAATGAGATCTAGTTTGTATCATTCGAAAGATATCTCTTTTCTCGACAAAATGGCTTTTGAGATTTTGAAGATTTTTTAAATATTTTCGGAGGTGCAAAGAATTGACAAAACCGTTGTCAAAATTGACAAAACAGAAAAGCATTTTTCTTTTTTTACAGCTAATTTAAATTTTTTGAACGAAATAAAGCTCTTAGTTTTTCACATTTTCCGGGTGGGACAAATGCGACCTTTTTTTTGGCGGACCTGGACATTTACGCACCTTTTTTTCGCTGGAAAAGGCCTTAGGAAAGACCGTAGAGCTTCAAAAATCTTTCTTGTAAGGGAATCGTATGCGTAGATTCCGAATTTCGACAAATTAGACCTCGCTGATACGTCAAATTTGGGCTAAAAGGCAAAAAGTACGCAACTTAACGCTTCAACTTAACGCGTTTTTGCCTTTTAACCCAAATTTGACGTGCCAGCGAGGTCTGATTTGTCGAAATTCGGAATCTACACATACGATTCCCTTTCATGAAAACATTTTTGAAGCTCTACGGCCTTTCCTAAGGGCTTTTCCAGCTTCCTTCTTTTCCAAAGGTGCGCAAATGTCCAGGTGCGTAAAAAAGTCGCATTTGTCACACCCCACATTTTCAGTACAATTATAAAATTATCAGCCAAATCCAACCGTACTTCATTTGGTGCATTCAACATTTGTAAAACTAATTTTTAGCGAAAAAGTCCGGTTATTTGGTTGACAACAATATAAGCGTTTCTAGAACTGATCAAATCGATATTACGAATCGTTGCTAATGCACGGTGCCAGTCACTTTCCGAAACCATTCTTATCTCTGGAGCTTAACTCTTGCAAACTTTTCCAACTATTCTCAAATGCTAAAACTCCAGAAAATTTTCGTAACTTTCATTATCTTTTCGTTAAGCTGTCTCCGAAAATTGGGAGCAATTTTAATCTTCTTAGCAAAAACGGGGGAAATCTTCTTCCTATGCGACTAAACGTGTCAACATTGCCCCTGTCCGCGATTTTCTATTTCAACAGATTTCTTTCCGATTCTCCTGTGCCTGTATTTTCTTTTGGGTCCAATTGAGAGCGCGTTAAAAAGCCAATAAAATCGCCACCTGCCAACCATCGCACATTTTAGCGCCTTTCCTTTTTTCCCGCACCTCTTCGCGCTTTTTGTTTTGGTATTGATTTTCTCTAGATCGTTCTGGATCATGATGTTATTATCGATAATCGTACCTTGGTATCTTGATTTTTAGTTTCTCCACAGGTTTTGGTGTTTAATTTATTATTCCATCATGTTCTTCTTGAGTTCTCTAAAATGTGTAAACTTTTGAAACTACCGCAACCTCGAAATAGATGCCTTTTAGAAGATGCACTCTTATCGAAATATTTTCCTCTCTTAGAATGTTTTTTTTTCTAAAACGTGTCACTTTTCTCTTTCTACCGTAATTTTGTCCCTATTTTTATCCATATCCAGTCTACAAAACTTTTTACTCATCCCCGTTTGACAGTTCTTTTCATGATGTGAAATTTTATCTAATTTCCGATCGGAGACTTTGGGGAAAATGGATTTGAACTTGAGTTTCTGATCATTTTGCAAGGGAACAAAAAATTGTTTTTCAAATATTAATAAAGTTAGTGCAAAATGAGGGAGTGGGACAAATGCGACCTTTTTTTGCGCACCCGGACATTTGCGCACTTTTTTTTCCGCACCTTGCTCATTAGCGCACCTTTTTTCGCGTCTTAAAAACCTCTAAGAAGCTAATATTAACCAATTTCTATTCCAAATGTTGTTTTTCTAGGTAATTTGAGGGCGTAGAATTGAAATTTTGACATAACAGAGCTTGTGGAACCAATTTGAGAGACAAAACGGCTAGATCAAATTACAAAAAATTGTCAATTTTTCTCTTTGTATAACTCCGTCCGTTTGTTTCCACAAGCTCTGATATGTCAAAATTTCTATTCTACGCCCTAAAATTACCTAGAAAAACAACTTTTGGAATAGAAATTGGTTAATATTAGCTTTTTTAAAACGCGAAAAAAGGTGCGCTAATGGGCAAGGTGCGCAAATGTCCGGGTGCACAAAACAAAGGTCGCATTTGTCCCACTCCCCAAAATGAAGAAAAGCGGATTTGAATTTCGAAATGGCCAATTCATCAGTGTTTTCTATTTTATTTCTACTTCGTTTTGAATAAAAACCTATAAATTGCAAAAGTTCTTTACAAATTTTCATTCCCTATTTCTTCTCTGACTTCAGTAAAAATTTATTAGTTTTGATCCGTAATTCACTCATCTACTTCCTCATAAATCTTTGATCCTTTAATCGTCCGCTTAGATGACAGCTTTGAGCGTATTTCTTTGATCTCATAAATTACTTGATCGTGGAAAATCTGATTTATATGTGTCATTTTGTTTATTACTCTTAATTTATTCTTTAGGCTGATGCCAGGTGAAAATGATGATGGACTAAAACCGTTCTTGTTGACGATCAAGGAAAAAAAACGAAAGAGGCGACGACCGATTGTGGTTTGTGAATTAATTTTCTAGAATTAAAATATTTAAAATCGGTAGTAGGGCTTTGCGCAACTTTCTTGTTTTGAGGTTTTTGGTTTCAAGCAAGATTGTTAAGTTAAAAAATCAAGTTGTTCATCAAAAAAGGTCCGGAAAGTGGTCGTTGATTCTGCGCACACCTTGTTGAGCTTAAGATTTTTAACTTTCAACGAGGAAACCTTTCAACTTAAAGTTCCCTAAAGGGAGTTTACTCGAAAGTTGCACAAAGCAACCCCACTCTGTATCCTGTTCTATCGATAAAATCGATTCCTCACTTTCTTTAATCGAAAGTGCTTGCATTAAAGAAACAACAGAAAAGTTGGCAAAACACAACATCGCCTTTTTCGTTGAATCGATTTTGCCCCTTTTAATTCCCAACTCTGATTTCTAATGCTATTCATTTGTGCGACGGTCTTTTCATGGGCTCTCCGGGTCAAGCCAACATTGCATATTGATGAGCATTTTATCGCTTTTTGTGTTTTAGCGAAAAATCGGGCACAATTGCTCATTTTTTATTGAAAACAACAATGGTATATTGTTTTTAGAACAGTTTTTTAATGATCAGCTCATTTTTAGTGATAAACGGGTGCTTTGTTCAGTTTACGAATGAAAAAGGCAGTGTTGTTGAATTGAACATAATGTTTTAAAACAATATGTGCGTCCTTGGATCTTGAAAATTTCCAAGTGCCACTTGATAACACCTTTCTTGAGATCCTGACCGGTTTTGCCCTTTCTTGTTGGCCTGAAAAACGCTTTCCCGCACAAATATCCTCTCACACCTTTCAGCGGTCGAGTATTGATCATAAATTTCCCCACACTAACTTGTCGTTTTTGTTACTTGTGGTGTTAAGCTTTTGGAAACTATTTTGCCAGTCTAAATAGGTTGTATTAGCTTAAGCAGAGTCTCATACATAAGAAATATTTCTGTGGTTTGTGAAGACAAAACATTTGTCATAAGTGTCGTTTTCAGCGTTAAAAAAATGATTTTTGAATAGGTGATCTCAAATTCGTCATTTTCCCAATTCCCACTTTGAAAGATAAGAGCTTTTGAGTGGGTTTCAAATTGATTGGTTGATTGATTATGCGGCGACTGTGCTTTTTTTGATTCCCAAGAGAGCAAGATTTAAAAGAGAAATCATTGTTCTCTTTGTACTATTGTTATTGAAGTGGCTTTTCGGAAGCTGATTTCTCTCGTCGCCACCTGGCAACCCCTCGTTGCTAATTGGAGAGTTCGGGAAATTGTATTTTCAGGATCAAAAAATCATTGAAGTTTTGTCGAATATGGTTTCGCTATGGTCTAGTTAACTTTTGGTCATTTTTTCCAAAATGTCCTCTCTTTTATGGGAAGTTTTGTTGATTTTGTCTTCTTTCCACTCACATCCCTCAGTTCCTCTCTTTTTGGGCTCTAAGCGACATCTGATATTTGCTCCGTTGTGGGGGAATCTTTCTTTTCTTTTTCTTGAGATGTCACCGAATTCACTTTATCGATCTTTAGCGAAATTTCCTTAGGCTAATTATTGGTCTCTTTTTTAGTAACTTTTGTAGTCAAGGTTCAACACAATTTTTTTGGAGAGTCGGCAATTCTTGATTCTTGTTTACCAAATTGGGAAAACGCACTAAATGGGGCATAGAAATTTTGAGATTACCTGGGTGTTTTATTTCAGAATAATAAGTTACAACTTTAATTTTGCAGAAAGTTTGCTCCTTTTTTCAATTTAGTACATTTGATACTAGCAGCACATTGTTCGCAGTGGAGCCGGTCACATGCTTGTGTGTATCATCGAACGGGGGTAGGCGACTCTCTCGGAATGGTCGATTCATCCCCCGTCCGCTCACTCACACACCAATCATTTTGCCTTTTCGTGGCGCTTTGAGTCGAGCGTCTCGATTCACAAATTATTTTTGCACGAGCACGCTTTAATCTAGGCCACCGCTAGGATGGGCTTGCAACTAGGTTTGCTTATCGATAAAGGTAGTTTGTAATGGTTCTGCATTGGTTGGTAGTTCAGAAACCATGACCAAATCTTAAGGCAATCCGGTCAAAATGCGTGGGTTGGAAGGGTTAGATCGATTTGGCAGTGTGACGAAGACTATTTTAAAAAATTCTGAGTGGCTAGGCTCCATGGTTTTGTGATCTCCTTTCACCCATAGCTGCAATTTCCAGCCACCTCATGAGCAAGCTGGGGGGTGGTGGGTGACCGTCATCTTTTCTCGTCCAAAAACCGCGGCTGTCTCTTTCTCTTTGCCCCTTTTCCTTTCACTGCACTTCACTCTCTACTCATATCATCAACATACGCTCACCTTTTTCCTGCTCGATTCTCTGCATTGCACTCTCCCGCCGCACTCTCCCGATCGCCCATATGGGGAATTTCAATTGATTTATCTAGAAACTTGTTTAGGGGATTTTGTCAACAATTGAGTCAGTTTATGATCGTGTTATTTCGACTTCTGTTTTTGATGTTTTAAGCTAATATTGCAAAGATCAGTCAGTAAAAACATGTTTCCTTAAAGTCTTTGCATACTTTAAATCATTCTTTAAAAGTTTTTAACTTTTAGTATTCCGAATTTTGACCCAAACATTTTTCTATTTAGTTCGACGGTGAGCGGACAGAATTTTGTTCTCCAGAGCAACTCTCCTCATCCTCTGCCCTATTGAACGGAGGAGTTGAACAATCACGTCGGTTTCACGGGTATTCTCAACAAGCTGGTGGGTGTCTTGGTAATCATAAATAAGTCAAATATTCAATAAGTTTTATAGTAGAATTTTTTTTATTTGATCAATGATAGAATTAAAAGGGTCGTTGTTACATTTAGATGGATCTCGGTATCAGCTGAGCTCATTTTCGGATATTGAGCTTGGATCGATTGCCACTCATTCACGAACGGTTTCATCAACTCCTCGAAGAAGTAAAAATAAACATTTTAAAAATTTAATTTTTAACTATTAGGTTTACAATTTGAGCCGACATCGCCAATGGTGCCACCAATTTTTAATAAATCGCGTGGGGATAGGAACTATCCGGTATGATTTTTTAAAATCTTTTATCTACTAATGAATTTTAGACGGGTGATTGCGCTGCGGTTAATGCTGAATCTTCTGTGCAAAGCTCCACGAATGGTAAACGAGCGAGAAAATGGGAGATGCATCAAGGGAGAAATCGCTTCTTTTGTAACGGAAGAGTAAGCTTTTGCTTTCGGTTCGTCTAAATGCTTTATTTAGTTTATCACGTCAAGACAAAGTGGAGTCTTCCTTTTCACAGTATTTTTGATATCGACCACGTTGACTTTGTTCTTTGTTTTCGAGTGAGTTATAAATTATAAGGCATTGACTTTGTTTCATTTAGAAGCTACTTTCTCTTTCATGAAGTCTTCTTCCTACTTCCGTTCATCGCAGCTGTCCTAGCACTTTTTGTGCTCAGCAACCTATTCAGGTAAAATGGCGAGGTATTTTTCTTATTTTATGATCTAATTCAGAACATCATTTATGGATCCTGGGATCTTACCAAGGGCGACAAATCTTGAGGTGATTGAAGACGAACGATTAGATCCGGTGACGATGGGTGATCCAGCACGAGGCGCTCCACGAACACGACAAGTGGCGATTAGAGGACAATTACTGAGGTGAGTCATTGATTCTAATTGAATATCAGGTATTTTAAAGGTCTATGACTGATTTATTACGTTCTTAGCAATTCCTAAGTACCTAATTTAGGTTAAAGTATTGCTCAACGTGTCGCCTGTTTCGGCCACCTAGAAGCTCTCATTGCTCGATATGCGACAATTGCGTCTTGAACTTTGATCATCACTGTTTATTTACCATAGCAGTCAAGTGTACTTATTACTTTAGGTCCATGGGTCGGAAATTGTGTCGGTGCTCGCAACTATCGATACTTTTATTTCTTCATCACCTCGCTCATCGTGCTCATATTGTTCATTTTCACTTGTTGTGCCACTCATATTGGACTAGGTGACTTTGCAAAGGATATAAATAATCGAAAGTTTTAGAAATGAAAAGTCAACATGGACAGTTTATTGAAGCAATAAAAAAGACGCCAATCTCGCTGGTGAGTTTTAAAAGAATTTTCTTTTGATAAAGGTTTTCTAGGTTATTTGCATCATCTGCTTCTTTTCGGTGTGGTCAGTGGTTGGATTGAGTGGATTTCACACTTATCTTCTTGCCACCAATCAAACGACAAATGAAGACGTAAGTCTTTTAATCAATTTAGATATTCAAATGTATCTAGGTCAAAGGGACGTTCAGTACAAAGAGGCGACCGACCGTCAAAAACCCGTACAGTGTGGGAACGCCTTTTAAGAACTGCTTTCTTAGGTTGTGCGCTTCCGATTCACCAAGGTAGAGTTTTGGCAACAAATAGCATTTTATAGGCATAGTCTGTTTGTACTAACGTTTAACTTTTAAAAAGAGGCGAAAATACTTCAATGTAAGTAAACTGTTATCATTTGCTTAAAGAATCAATTTTTTTGTTTTGAAACATGGTTAGTATTTAGTCTTCTCGATGCTCGTGGATGGGTTGAAGAGCATCCAGGGCTTCATTTTGAGCGTCGGCCTCAACCCACTCATGGTGAGCATAATAGGTGAGCATTGTAATTTTTTTCTCTTATTAGTACTTTTATTTTAGAGTCTTCACGGTTAGTATCAATGACGAAGGAGCACACGCATAAAGCAGCCATCATCAATTTCCTGATTTGCCAAGTCATATTTTGATTGCTAAACTTTTCTTTCTGGTGAGCCTATTTTAAATGATTCCTTTGCATTGTGTGATAGGTTTGTCAGCTTTCACTTCGGGTCGATTCCTCAGCCTTGCCCACTTTATTTCCTTGATTTTTAAACTACCTTTTCTTTCTTTCGTATGGTTGACCCTATATTCTTGAATCAATCGGGTATTTTCCGTTACTCAACTTTTCTAGTTTGTGTTATTGATAATTGTATGATATTAATTGCAATTACGACTATTTCGAAATCTTTATTGTTTAGATAAAGAGAGATTAACAACAAAAAAAAGCATCGAGATCCGATAGATGAAAGACGGTTAGTAAGAGATAATTTTAACCTATAGCTTTAACGTCAACTTCTAATGATAATCTGGCAAAACTTTAGACTAATTACATATTGAAGTAAAAGATTTCACGCCAAATCGTAGTAAAGCCATCATTTGCGTTATTCGTGAATGAGTACAAGAGAAGAGCGTTTTTTTGTGACTGACCCACCAGAAATTCGTCATTGTTCCAAATGAAGTACTAAAAATGTTTTGCTTTTAGGGTAACTAAAATAACGGTAGCAATTTCAACGAACTTTCTCATACTCCTTTTTCGTCAAATGATACTCGTAGATGGGTCGCATATTTTTACTCAATCTCACATCGATAAGACAACTGAAAATGGGCAGAATTGCTTGGGATTTTCTTTTGCATACCGATTCTTCAGACATCGATAGAACCAAACAAAATCCGAATCCATCCAGAGACCCTTGATGGTGCCTGAAACCATTTCGAGGGGTTTAGTTTGGTTGCAAAAAAAGTTTAGCCTATGTTCAGACAAACCGAATTCCTCGGATCTCTTCACGCAATGAGCATCGAATTGATTGAATGGATCAATCCAAAGCAGAGTCGGCTCATCTTTTGTCGCTGGATGATTGTAGAGGATAGCGATCCCATCTTCGACGACTTCAAAGTGCTGAAAGTTTGGTTTTTCGTTGTTGAATGCCTAGAGTATTTATTTTTATAGAAAGCAAATCAGATATCAGCTCTTTTACCTGAACCGTTTTCCCGTTTCCACACCTTTGCGTGTTAATCGAAACGATTGTCCCGTTGTGCGTGACAAGAAATGGTTCGGCGTCGCTAGCATTTTGCCCGATCAAGTAGATCTGAAGAGAGCTTGAAATATTTCAAATCTCAACCCTGAAACCTTGCCATCTCTGCTGAGGAATTTCGCTTGATAGAGCGGGAATTTGAGGCGGCTCCACCGAGCGCCGGATCGCTGGTGACAGATATCTAAAAGAAAAATTAGCTTGAGTTCAGCTTTTTCACAAGATTACGGTAGTCTTAAAAACTGAAAGGCTTTAGTAAAAACGGATTAAACTCAATTTACTTCCATCAGTCGGCACACTACAGCAGGAGAGCGTGTCGGCGAGGCGCTGATTTATGCATGGAATTTCGATTGTCTGTAAAAAAAACATTAGAACATTTAGAAAGTCTTGAGAGTCCGGTTTACATGATTTGGCATGATGAAATTGAGGAGATTGTTTTGCAGTCTCAACTCCAAGTCGTAGCTTTTTGTGTGGAAAAAACCGGGGCGGTGACTGAATTCGTTTTCTCTACAGTTTTCTAAAAAGTTAGCTTGAGAAAAAGCTACCATACTCTAGAGTCCTAGCAAAAGCTACCGTACTCTAGAGTCCTAGCAAAAGCTACCATACTCTAGAGTCCTAGCAAAAGCTACCATACTCTAGAGTCCTAGCAAAAGCTACCGTACTCTAGAGTCCTAGCAAAAGCTACCGTACTCTCTAGCAAAAGCTACCGTACTCTAGGAGTCCTAGCAAAAGTTACCGTACTCTAGAGTCCTAGCAAAAGCTACCGTACTCCAGGATTACGGTGCCCTTTTGCCAAGGACCTCTTTTAGAGAGCAGGTTTCTAAATACTCTAAATCCCAAGCTTACTCATAGAAAGTGACGACAAGCTCATCATCGAGCAAGTGCAGATTTGTGGCCATTTCGTTGGGCTCGAGTTTCTTGATCGGCTCTCAAAGTTGCTTCATTATTTTCGTCTCCAAATTTTCACAACCTGCTCGCAACAGTGGTGGAATTCTCTCAGGAGCCCGTCCAAGGAAAAGCCACAAACTGACCGCGATAGCGACGAGGATCGTGAAAACGCCACCTAGATTTTGGGAGTACAATAAATATTCGAATACAGTCAATTCGTCTATTTTTCAATCCCTCTCCAGTACACTAAATCTCTCTCCAGTACGCTTCAACTCACCAATCAAACAAGTCTTGCTCCTTTCAGCACATTTTCTCGGAATCTGCGCAAGATCTTCTTTGGAACGAAAGTTGAACTTGAAAATACCGCCGAAAGTCTCCTTTGTCGATTCTGAAACTAATTTGCTTGAGAAAGCTTGAAAAACTCAAAAACCAAGTTCAGCAAGAAGCTCTTTTTCCAAATCTTGATGAGTCGTTGAACTTCGATTGTCTCGACTTCCTTCTAACCAAGATTCTAAAAGTGTGGGTTGATCATTGCAACTCCAGTCAAATTCTCCCAGTTAAATGCAAATTTCGATTAGTCTTACCTTGGGAGCTCAAAAATTTAATGCTCACCGACGACTTTTGCCACTTCGGGTGTCTCCATGTAGTGTTGACCGCTATCGTATGTGAAGCGGCTACCGCTAAAGTGTGATCTAAGCTGTATGAAGTCTATGTACTTACGTCTGAAACGAATGCACCGACTCGGTTGTTTGATTACGAAACAGCTTCATCTCCATGTACGATCTTGAGCCCATTCTCGGCTAGGTTCTCAAAAGCTTCAATGTGAAAATGACTCTTTGATCTAAAATTTGAGAAATAAAGATGAAATGGCGTGCTAAAGTTATGAGAAATTGTTGCCAACTCTGCAAACAAGCGATTGGTGGTGAAGTATTGGTGCGTCCTTATCAACCCCTTTTCGAACTCGGACACTTCCTGGGGGTCACTCTTTTCCAACAGAATACAAATGCACTTGTTGTTTCCATTTTAATGCTTGAAACAAGCTTGCTTTTCTTTGCATACCTATAAAATCAACTATTTATCCCAAGTAAACGAAGTGTACGGGCAGCAGGGGCCTGGAATCATACTTTAACTATACAACAATTCACAAAAACAAGAGTATCAAACGAGGAAGATGATCTAGAGTTTATCACAAGAGTTTCAGAGTTATGTAAAACAAACTGAAATTTAAGCCTAACGCGTCAAGAAAAAGAAATCGTTGTACATAACTTCACAAACATTTAAATTAGGCCGTGTTTTGCATCATGAACTTCTTTACATCGGAAAGCTCCTAAAAAATTGAGAGTAAACACTTTCGTATTTTAAACAAACCGCTGGTGAACTTGAATGTCCCATTCCAGGATATACTCGCAACGAAACATTTTTGTTGAAAGCCTAAAAATTAAGTTGAGGTAAAATACAATTGTCAATTACATTACCTTGATAAGTCCTTCGGTAAGACGTCCAAATGTCAATGGCACTAGAAAATCATCGGTTCCGTGTCCCAAGAAAATTGGGGTTTCCAAATTTGCAACGTGACTCTAAAAGAGTCCAACCAATAATTTTTTTGATATAATCTGACAAATTTCATAAAGCACTTACACCTGGGATTTTGTTGCGTTGAACCAAGAAGGATGATAGTCCAACAATACCAGCAAGCTTTTGTGGATAGGTCAAACCAGCGTACAGAGCCAACGCACCACCCATCGAGAAACCACCGAGTATGATTTTATTGGCAGGAATTCCAGCGGCTATCTGTAGCAAAAGCTTTTACAATTTCCCCATTGAAAGCTACCTCTTGATCAAGCATGTTGTGAACGAGTTGAGTAGCCGCTTGAATGCCAGCTTCATCTTCCTAAAAAGTAAGCATTAAACATCAGAAGCAAGAAAAGCTACCTGTGATTCAGCACTCAGCCCGTAAAGATCAAACCATGCAGGCATTCGCATTCCCATGTTTAACGTGACTGGCCGAGAGTCGCTAAACATTTAGTATAATACATTTAGATGTTTGATGAGTAATCTGATGCCACTACAATTTGTCTTATTTATTTATTGCTAATTACAATTCTTCTTTAAAAGTCTACCTTGATGGACAAATGTACTTCATGGTGTCAATCCTTATTTCATGTTCAAAAACTGAAGACCAACCATCTCCCTGATCACCAAGTCCATGTAGAAAAATGGCCTAAAATCTTTCATAAAACTTGGCTCGCAAAATGTTTAACCGTCGAGGTGTGGCCCTTCTTTGGCTGGATGATCACTGGAGGTGGCATTTTACTACAAGAAGTCGAGGTATGGAGTGAAAATCCTGGAATTTAAACATGCAATAAAGATTAGGTTAGCTGAACGTTATTAAAAGTTAAAACAAAAAAGGAATAACGAGTGTCCCACTTCGCTCGTTGAGGTGCGACTCGCGTGAAGAAACTAGAGCTGACAAGTAAGCCCCTCCAAACAAAACAATTCGACGCCTAAGAGCCAAGCACGACATTTATTGAGTGGGGCCGGTCTTGCTTTAAAGATACCAAATAAATACGGGGAAGAAGATGGAAAACATTGTAAGATCATCAAAAGATAATCTAGGGCTAAAAACCCAATAGCCAATTATTCAAACTGTAAAATAGCTTTATTACATCAAACACGTGGAAATCAAAATAAATAAAAGCAAATCAATACAAGAAAAATTACTAGGCTGTGGGCTTTTGTTTTCGCTGAGCCATTAATTTGTCGAGTTCGGTCTTGAGCTTCTGCGAGAATTCGGACTCGTTAGTTTCATCATCCCAGTTATCTTCCCAAACATTGACATCACCTTCTTCTTCCTCGGAACGCTCGGGCCAATCCAACATGGGGAACTCCTCGAATTCGACATCGTCCACGGCCGTTTTCGTCACTTTTTTCACCTCAATCGCTTTCTTCTCAGACATCGTAGGCGACAAAAACTAAATAGTTTTAATAGTTTAACAGCTTGGTTTCTCAAAAATGAATATAAATAATGGGCTAATTCACCAAGGTTCTTCAATGAAAAATATATAACAGTTTATTTACTAAACACTCACATACACAACTTTAAAGTGAACTTAAGCAATGGAACCCGAAAAAATGAGATCACAATTCGATTATGCAAATAAAGAAGATTGATGTTCTGATAATTCTTTTTGAAAAGTAGCCTGTTCGTTCAGGCGCGTCACTTCACTAAGATAGTGCTAAATTTAGAGCATAAATTCTTGTTGAATTTTAAAGCCTTACCTCTGCTCCACTTGTATCAAGTATTGCGATCACGTTCGTATAAGGGAATTTCGAGCACGCTTTGCTCAACTCGAGCTTCGTAGCTGAGTTAATCAACGGCAGACGGCGTTTTACGCATTCCTTTTTCAGATCGAGAAGTAAAGAGGTCACCGTTTCTAAAATCAAATTATTAGCTATCTAGGTAAGCAAAATCCCTACCTTGTTCCATTTCTTTGTCAATGTTTCGCGCAGTAACAACAATTTTCACATCCTCGGCTCGAATCCGCTTCAAAGTTTCATGGAGTCCAAAAACTAGCCGCCTATGTGCTCTGGCCTAAAAAGAATATTAAGAAATGATAAATAATTAAGCTACCTTTTCTTGAGATTTCTTCCATACGCGGTCTTGAAATTTCTTCAGAGTTTTGATTAACAACAGCACAGCTTTGTCGAGTTCCTCTTCCAACGGCAATAGCTTGTTGGTTGTTCTTTCAAGAGGACCATTTGACGCACGAAAATTTTCAAGCTTCTAAAAATCACAAATTAAGCCTTTTGAAAAAGTAAGAAGCTCTTTGCGTCGTAGTTTCCGTAGCAGTTTTCTTCGGTACTACCCATTTACAAATTAGATAGCAACAAAAGATTGTAAAATCAAATTTACCTTTTTTAAATGAGTAGCTTTTTCTTTCTTCTTCTCTTGATTCTTCACTTGCTTTTTTGGTTCGTTTGGAGTCGTCCGCTTGTTTATTTTTGGAAGCGGATCTGAATGGAAAAAAATTTACATACAACTAAAGTAAAAACAACCTTTCGTAGGCACCAGATACTCTGCTAAATTCCTCGTCGTCGGCTTCTTCCATTGAGCCCCTTTCGTTGTTTTGCCCTCATTGCTGCATTCAGAGCTTGTTATCGTCTCCTTTGTCGTTCTCGACAAAGTATCTATATGCTTCATGTATCTAAAGTATCTAAAATACATGTTTCATGCCGTTTTTTCATGCTGAGAAAACTCATGTTGGCGTTCATGCTTTATACCGAGAAAATTCATGCTCCTTTCACTTTTTCTAAAAAATTACTAAGGTAAAAATACGTGTAATTTTTCTCTGGAAGTTGCGCTCCACTTTTTTGGTTTACTTGCTGATTTGTGCCCGTGCTATTTTTAAGCGTTAGATAGATTTACGCGATTATAGGATAGCTTTTAACAGCTTGTGGAAGGTTTTTAATCTTTTCTCGGTTTATTTTTATTAGTTATACATTTAGTGATTGTTTGAATATCATGTTAATTAAATCTTTCAATTTACTTTTTTTTTACTTAGGCTTAATGGAGCAGAATTTTTTAGAAAAAGTGAAAGGTAACCTTTCACTGAACTATACATGAATTTTTTGGAGCGCTCCAAGCACGGCATAAAGCATGAACGCCAGCCATGAATTTTTCTCGGCATGAAGGCATGAATTTTACTAGTTGCCTATGAAAAGGAATAACAATGAGGACAAACCAAAAACACGTACCAATTGGTCCAAAACCCTCATCGGAATTTATTGTGGCTGTCGTTTTCTGACCACGAACCCGGATTAAAACGAGCAAATCCAGCAACTCATTTGAAAAGTCAATAGAATGGCGGAATTGTCATTTTATTCTTCGAACAAGACGGGGTTCTGTAGCGATTCTATTGCGTGGATCGCGCGGGGTACGGTATTTCTCTGTTTAGCCGTTTTGTGTCAGTTCGTCTCTCTCTCCCTGTTGGTTCAGTGTTCCTCCTTTCATAACAGTGCGTTAGTTCCAGTTTTTGGCATAGATTGATTAGAGCAGCTATTTATTAGCTCGCCTTTGTACTACATCCAGAAACTTGATAAAACAGCAGTAATGGTGCAAATTTTTAACTTGTAAACGCAGTCCCCCCCCCCCTCTAACTAACTTTGATTCTAAAGCTTTACATTATTTGGTGGAATAGTTCCATCTTTCGACCAGAATACCTTTTATCTTTGTACTTGCTAACTTTATCCAGTAACTTTTGCTTATTTTAGAGGATGAGCAGCGCCGCCACACAAAGGCTCACATCAAAGCGGCAAACGCTCGACGAGGCCTACGCACCGCCGGCAAACTTTTTGGAAATCGAGGTCGTCAACCCGATCACGCATGGGGTCGGAAAGATGCGATACACCGACTACGAGATTCGGATGAGGGTTCGTTTTTTAATTTTAAATGGAGTCAGTATTTTCTGGTGACGCATCGTTCACATTGAGGGGTGGGATGCAAAACAAATTTGTTTTTATTTGGGTTCTCCATCAAGCAGCAAGTTGTTTATTTGCAAGGTCAAAATCTAAAAAAACTGTATTGATAATTAATTAAAATTGATAAAGGGATGGTTAAATATGTTTAGTTTTTTTGAGTTAAAAACTAGCAAGTCAAAATATCAAATTAAGTCTAGCATCTAAACAAATTGTCTTATTTTAGACAAATCTGCCAGTGTTCAAGCAAAAGGAATCGAACGTGCGAAGGCGATACTCTGATTTCGAGTGGTTGCGAGGCGAATTGGAACGGGATAGCAAGGTGTGTTTAGTTTTTTTTAAGTAGTAAACAAACATGAATTTGTAGATGGTTTTAAGTTTAGATTGTGGTGCCTTCTTTGCCTGGGAAGTCGTTAAAGCGACAGCTTCCTTTCCGCTCCGATGACGGGATTTTCGAAGAGGAGTTCATCGAGAATCGCCGAAAAGGATTAGAGCAATTTATTAACAAGTGAGTAGCTCTTTTTAGAGTTTCCTCTGTACAAAGAATATTTTTTTGACTTGCGTAAGCAACTCCACCTGGGAAAAATAATCAGTATAAGATGCACCAACCGACTCTCTTTGCACTAACAATCTCTGGTTGTATAGTTGGAGTGAGGGTTAGCCATCCCCTCACTCCCAACACTTAACAGAATCTTACATGCAAACAACTGATTTATATTTTAGGGTAGCTGGCCATCCACTTGCCCAAAACGAGCGATCGCTTCATATCTTCCTTCAAGAAACCACCATTGATCGCAACTATGTACCAGGAAAAATTCGATCCGCTTAAAGGTACCATCACATTTTGAACTTGTTCTCTTTGCTCGAATTGTCCATTCTGTGTGCTATGCCTTCGACTCAATCCCAATTCGGAGGTTCCAATTTAAAGGAATCAGTATTTATTATCTTCTCCTTCTGTTTGTGATTGTACCTTATCGTCCTATAGCCGTGATCAATTGCGTGTAAATGGCCTCCTTGAAATTTTGATTTATGGCTTTGGTGAATCATTTTCATGTGTTTCAAACTCGTTTGACTTTTGGAAGCAAGCCAGTTTCTTGTGACTTTGTGCGATGAAATTTTACGGTGATTTTTCTAGCTTGTCCCATGCGTTTTTGCAATTTGTAAGTCATCATCCTGTGTATAGCGTTCCAGAGGATTTTAATAAAATGTTTACGTTTTGTTTAGGGGTCAGCAAGTATAAACAAACAGGCGATGCATCGTTCAGTTTTTAGGGTTACGAGGCGAGAGAGTAGTTTCTGTTTTGCGCTATGAGGCAAGAAATCTTTCCCGTATCGATTACAGAGCTGATTACACGATTTCGACATCCACAGCTCTCGCGGAGAAACACTGTCAATTTCAATTTCAACGTTTGCAATCTTCCAAAGAAAAGACTGTTGACATTTCAAGGCAAGCAGAGGGAAAAAGGGGGCTGTGTGTGAAAAAACGGCCTCGGCATAGACATTTTTTCTCACCCATTTGCCAAGGTCATTCCCCATTATCCCATCTCCCTTACTGGGGCTTTGTTTGGCCGGTCAATGACACTCGGAAGATCTCCTCTTAACGCTCGTTTATCACTTCCAATAATCGCCATGGATTTCTTTGATTTTTGATTGATTTTTCCACTTTACGAGTTTAGCGGTGATCAAAGCTGTTAACTTCAAGAAAATCTATAAGTTACTGCGATTTTCAAGCTGTTTCAGGTAAAATCTATACAAATCCATGCAATTTTCATATGTGGACTGGGTACGTGTGAATCATTTCCCGAGTTTTCTCTATTTGAGTGCGTGAGTAACGAGGCGACTTTTCTCTTCCATGGATTATTTTTCATCTGACCTGGGCCATTTTGTGTTTAGCAAATTGTTTTTGAGCAAATCATATCGAAAATTAGCATTTAAAAATTTTAAATTGCTTACAAAGCGCATTTCCCCTTTTACAACACATTTTACTACGGTAATACCTATAGGGAACCTGCTAGTTCCGGGTATTACGGTAGTTTTGTAACTGAAAAATCTATGGTAACCTGGGGGTTCTGCCATTTGTATTACGGTAGATATTTCACCCGTGACACCATTATATTACGGACATTACGGTAGTTCTTTTTTGCAACTGAAAAACGTTCTGTAGCACCGTACCATCTGGAGATATGGTATTTTTGTATTATGATAGTTTTTCCTGGATATTTTCCTATTATACCCCGCAAAAGTTGACCCTGCAGCAATCCTAATATACCGCCGCCAAATTTGCATTTTAAAAGCATCAAAACAACGGATTCCACTGTGGGATTGGACTTTTCGATATATGCAAATTTTAATAACGCTATCAAAACTAATTTGCTTTGTATTACGAATTAGTGTGCTTTCCCTTGATTACATTCTAGTTCTAGTTCTAGCGCACAGTTTTAGCCACTAGACGTGGCTTGGCCTATGCGCTTTTGCTTTGAATGAATAACAAAACCAAATTTACTCAATACACGTGGGGTAAAGCGCGTGAAAATGTTTCAACGAAGCTCAAAGAAACAATGTGTATTTCTATGAGCTGACGATATCTACCAATGACTCGTCGTCATCGTCAAGCTGTCGCAGTCTAATAAGACACCAGAAATACCGTACTCTAAACAGTGTCGTGCTCAAACGCGTATAAAAGGACCCCACATTTACCATTTGGTTAGAATTTTCACTCATTGTGTCTTGAAAAGAAATCAACTTAAGTTCGTTTCTTTAGTTCTTTTGTTCCAGATGCAAAAAGGAATCACTTTAATGAAAGATTGTGAAAGTATATAAATGGGGCGTCCTTTTATACGCGTTTGAGCGCGACACTGTTTAGAGTACGATATTTCTGGTGTCTTATTAGACTGCGACAGCTTGACGATGACGACGAGTCATAGGTAGATATCGTCAGCTCATAGAAATACGAATTATCAGCTCATCGCCATTTTCAGCTAGTTGATGGTCGTAAAATTGGTGTTGCCCTATTTTCGGGCAAGGTCGAGAAAGCTATTCAGTTAGATGCAAAAAGATCAGCGGTGCAGTGACAGCTGACACTCTCCGCTCTCTTTTGACCGTTTGACCCCTCTCTATGGCTCTCTCTGGGTCTTATAATACTTTTAATATTATAGTACAACAATAGTTTAAGCTTTGATCTTACTTTTGATATTTTAATTATGTTTTTCTTTTACAATTCTCTTTTTTCTGATCTTTTTCTTCAAGCCACAGCTGCATTCATTGTACCGGCTTTGTACATACAAAAAAGACAAAATAAAAGGCTCCAGCTGTTTCTTGATTCAGAATATTGCAATTGCTTGGGGATAAATCTATTTTTAAAATATTCGAACAAACTTGGCAAGTCACCGCGCAAGAGAAAACGCAGCGAATCGGCGCGATCTCTATTGATCTGAGGGTCACTGGTTCGAGCCCCGCCCGCGACAAAATTTTCAACTTTTTTCTTTTCAAAAACGTATTTTTGAATTTCTTAGGGTAATCTTTACCCCTGATTGCGAAAAACGTGTTTTTACCCTAGGTTTTTAAGCGAAAAACTGATGAAACGATATTTTTGCACTTTTTAGGGTCTCACCATCTCTGCTAAAACCTCAGTAAAAACTTTAAAACTCAATGAATCAATAAGCGGTTTCTTTTATTGAATTTGCTTGATAATTAGCTTTCGAACAAGCTATTACACGAACAAGCTAAATTCATTGAGTTTGAGACCCTCTCCCAAAAAAACCGCAAGAACTTTTCGTCCAACCCAATAACAAGTACCGATCCTAACAGTAAAGGAGGCTAGATAAGAACTACGGTAATTTTACTGTGCCTACCTTTGCAAATTCTCTGTCTGGAGTTGGAAATCCTCTGTCCGGTATTACTGTAGATATTAGGAAGATCTTATCAGTATCTTTTACATAATTCACTGAGCAAAGCTAGGTCAAAGCAGAATCAGTTTCCCAATTTCATCTCATTTTATTTTCAATCTTTTTTAGTTCGCTCTCTTTCTTCCTTTCTTCCTTTTCTCTTTCTTCATTCTTCCATGTCTTTCCTATCTCTTTTTGGGTAAAGAAGGCGTCGATAGCTCAGTGGTAGAGCATCTCCGTCCGGAAGCGGTGACCGACGGAGGGTCGTTCAATAGGGTCGGGTTCAATTCCCTTTTCCTGTTCCAAATTCTTTGCCATTCATCTCTCTAATTAACCAACCCAAAAAAGGCTAATGACGGGTTTCTCACACTTTTTGGAAACCACCCATTATGGCGTTAGCGCAGTCAGGAGCGCACTTGTCTACGACGCACACGATTCAGGTTCGACTCCCCGTAGTGCCACTCAATTTTGACTTCTTTAATTTTTTTGTTTTAAATGGCACAACTAAATTATATTCGACTTCCCTTTTATCAAGCAGCATGCAAATTTTTACATTTGGTGTATCGCGTATCAAGTTAGGTGGATCGCGTAGTCGCGTAGTCGTAGTCGTAAGCGTAGTCGCGCTGAAAAATTCTGCCCAAACACCGCCATTCCATAACTCAACGGGTTTTCAACTTTTTCAAAATCTGATTGCAGATTCGTGATCAGCGCAGTTTTGAACCCTAATCCTGAAAGTTCCCAAAAGTTTCAACCCAAACTTTCAGCCCAAACATTTTTCGAGTTTATTGCAACGGACTGGCTGACTGACGGACCTGTCCATTTATATTTATATTATATTAGTTGTTAGATGAGTGCAAGTAAGCCAAGAAATGAAAATCTAGAGGGAAAGGGGTGATCTTTTGAGAGAAAAAGAAGAAAATGTCATTCATGGGATGTCATGGGGAGAAAGGAGCCAAGATTTTGGCGGGAATCATTCACTCGCCCACTACACGAGAACTTTTTGTTATTCACCATTCACTACAATCAATTTTCTCTCCTTTTACTGCAATACTTTTATTTATTATTTGAAAATACTTTTGTTTATTATTTGTAAAAGATACTGCATCTTGTAAGTACTGCAAATTTCATTTACCAAGCTGTTTGTAGTTGTAGATATCTTCTGCTTGTTATAGATCACAAGCAGAAGATGATAATTACCGTACTAATTAAAACTAGTAAAGTACTTTTTATATACAGCACTTTGGTTAGTTTTTATTGTCTTGAAACTTCCAATTGTTTTCTTTTCTTATTTTTCAATTTTCTTAGATCTTTAAAAATCTGGTTTATTTGCTATTTTGTTACCGTATTTTTGAAGTTTTACTTTTATTTTCAAAACTTAGAACCTATCTTCACGAATCTCACTTTGAAATGTACGACAAGGGTCATAAAATAGACACAAAGGGATAGGGTCAGCTGGGGTGAAAAGTAAAGATGGAGGAGTATGTGGGAAAAGATTTCACTCGACTCCCCCAAAGATTTCTCTCCTTTTTCCACATGTGTTTCTTTTGTGGATTTGATTTGAATGTTTGTTAATATTTTTAGACTATCATTAAATAGCGAGCACACAATCCACTAGCTCCACATTTAAGGAAGAAAGCTTATAAGGACTCCGAAAGTCGGCCTAAACTTTGCTGCCAGATATTTCACGTTACAGAGTTCCTTTGGAAAAAGTAAAAGCATATTCAGAATCAGGATAGCCGGTTCTATAAAGCCCCGTGGCTCTCGTATTAAAAGCCACCTTGACCTGTTGCTTTTCTCTACTTAGACCAAAATAATTGAAAAATAATGAAAAATCGACTTTTTTTTTTCTTTTCCGTGATTTTTTCTAAGCGCTGGTTAATGCTAAAACTATGTGCTATATCTCAAAAAATCGCCCATATTTTCTACTTTAATTTGATACCTAA